TAAATATGTTGTGAAACAAAATGTTAAAATTTAGTAATTCTAAATACATTACAAATTATCTTTTAAATATTTTAACTTTGAAGTACATATCTATTATTAAAACCATAATATTTCAAGGTGTTTATGTAATGTTTTTATGAATATTTTGTTGGTGTACTTTGGTGCTGTTTTACTGTTTAGTCATTGATTTAAAAGTAGGATACAAAATGTCAGTACAAAAGAAAAGAAATTTAAAAACATCAATAACTATCTGAATTTAACATTTGACAATATTTGAAAGTACTATTTGTCAAATACAAAGCATTGTTTTCTTTTATTTTCTTGCATTTCTTGGAAATAAAAAGCATTCATGGCAAAATATTATTGTATAACTGTGATTACTTGTATATTAGCATTTACAAAGTATATATTAAAATCATAGATCTTTTCAGGTTTCTTAAATTCAGTACAAAAGGATAAATTGATAATGCTCTAAGTTTTAGTGAAATGTGAAAGCATTCTATTTGCATGTCACGATTTTAAATAAAATATTACAAAACATTAGACTATTTCATAGCTTAATGATTAGAACAAAAAGTTTACTATTATTCTAAAAACACTGAATTTCTCAAAATTGCAACTAATAATTAGATAATTAATAAAACTTTTTTTAAGTAATGAAAACTATTACTTTTTACTTGTTTAATTTTTCTTTTTTTTCAATGATATTTTTAGCAACATAACTAAGGAAAATCATAATTGGAAATAAATCTTGAAATCTTCAAACATTTTAAAATGCTGTTAAAATAATTGATTTTGTTATCTCAGTTTATATGATATATATGAGCTAAAATTGTCATTATCAGTTTAACATTTTTTTAAATACTAAAAGTCAGAAGAATTATTTTTCCATTTCTTATTGCCCTAAGTAATTTAAGGGATCTACCTTATATTAGAATTATTATGAAATATATTTATAGATTTATATACTATCATATAAAACCAAAAGAAAATTGAAAATAATTATCAAAACATGTAATAAACTTTGATTTTGTTTGTTTGTTTTTACATATTATTCCAATAAAACAACCATATATATATTTAATGGTCGTAATCACTTGGCAGACTATCATGTAATATTTAATCTTTTAATATTTCTAAATCCTAAAGCTTTATAAAAAAATCTTTTTATTGTACTTTTTGAATGTTTTACCCCATTTTTCATTGGTAATTCTGTTTTATTTTTAAAATATTTTATGCTTAACAACAATCCTTTTTAATAAGCGTTGATCAAAAAAGCTGGCTGCTTATGAGGATTTACACCACATTTTTCTTTTTCTCTTTTTCTTTTTTTTTTTTTTATTAATACTAATTTTTAACATGTCTCTGCTTCTTTATGCTATACTCAAGTTTTGTATCATTAAGAAATGATTTAAAAAACTTTCTTTATCCTTTCCATTTCTAACCCTGTTACCACCCTCTGCACCATCTCTTTACCTAAATCAATGTTGAACCTTCCACCCTGTAAATAACATTCTTATCTATTTAACAGAATTGGCTTTTCTGGCATTTATCCATCTTTTCATTCATGATGGACATTTCTTTCAGCATTTCTACCTTAATCATCAATTTTTTTTCTCTTTTTCTTTCCTGATAAATATATTTATATTGCTATCCCTTAGCTGAATGCCTTTATAATTATATAATGACTTTAAACTCTGTACTTGAAATGAATTCATTTAACCTACAACTTTAAATTGGGTTCCATCAATCCAACCTCTGGGACTAACAATTTGTTAGAAGAAGCAGAAACTCAGGTTTGATAATCATCTAATTCTTACACTTCTTCAATTTAATTTCTCATATCTGTGTAAAAATTTTAATTTTTTTTTCTTTTTGTCAGTAATTAATTTTTGGATGTAAACCTTTACTCTTGTAATTTACTTAAATCAGTATTTACAGGAACTTTTTCATGGTTCACCTTTGTTCATTATTTTATACATGTAAAGATCTAAGTCTTCATAAGAATGTAGATAAAGTTATATATTTCTGCTTAAGCTTCAGATAGCAAACAATAAAATAAAATAAAAATAAGAATCATAATATCAGTTCACAGACAGTTGTTTGTCCATAATTTTTTATGCTGAATAACCTGCACAGTCATTTAACATTCACTAACCCCTAAATCTGCATAACATAACTTTCAAATTGCTATGTTTGATACAATTACTTAAGTATTTATGAAGTAATTTTGATTCTAACTGTCATACTTGCATATCATAGATGTTATAAGTTTCATTATTAGATATTTTTTAGAGTATACAAAAAAAAAAATTGTCATGTCAATTTTTTTTTAATGGAGCAAATTGACTACAAATCTATGAACAAGATGGTAAATTTATATTATTACTGCTATCCTTATGGATATGGGACCTCGGTGTTATCTAATTTTTCAATGGCCAGAGGTTGTATGATGCACATTTATCTTGTGACTAAAACAAGAATTAGTAAATTATGTTCTAAATCTTATAGTCATGTAAATATTTCAGAGCTTATTTCAGTATTTTTCATTTGAGTATACAATTATGACAAATACACCCTATGACAAGTTTGTGTGTGTATGTACATATGCACATTGCCACCACTTATTGTTGTTTGACATTTATGAAATATTTTCTTCTTTCTAATTGAGGTGAATAAGACCCACTTAATTTGTTTTAATTATATAACTTTATTAGCACTTTAGTAATAAAATTAATATTTTATTACTAAACTTGTCTTATTTATTTTGTAGTATCAGAGACTGAACTCTTATTTTTAGTCAAATATTCTTATAACCAAATTAGCACTGATGCTACAATTATTATAATCTCTTCATTCCAGTAATTTTAAGGGATTTTGTTTAAGATCAAATGACAACGGACCATCTCTCAGTGTTTTTAGCTTGTTGTATTTTGTCTGGCCTAATACCTGTCTGATTTCTTATGGAATATCCATTTAAAAATTTGTGAATTATGTCCAGTGTTCCATTTATTATGTTTTGTTTATTATTACAGTTATGCTCAAAAGATTCTTGTTTTGAATTAAAAATTGACATATCTCCTATGATAAGTTTTATTAAAAATTATACCAAACATTTTGTCCCTCCAACCTAATTATTGTTCACTCAGCTCTTACACATTATTTTTAATCTTTTGTCTGCCACATATCTGCAAATGTGTAGCTTTCAGTGAAAATTAAGTTTAGTATTCAATAGCAATGATGGACCATACTCTATGGTAAGATGTTTCACTAAATTTTCTATTCTAATAAACATGAATATAACTATATTAATTTTTGTATATATTATTTCCATCTCTTATTCACCAATATTAGAGGTGTTGAAAAGGTTATGGATATTATTTATATTATTTTATATTCTTGACTGGATAAACCTGTAAGGAAATACAGATTTATTTTATTTTCATTTTCAAGTTTAAGGTAACATGTGTGGGAAGATGTTTCCCAGGAGAGTGCCATGCAGGCCAGCTGTTTTTCCAGAATGTTCATTTGGCAATTTTAAGTGATTTGTTGACATTACCCCCAATTGCAGGAGAGAACAAAACAAAAGCAAGTCTGTCATTTCACCTAGCAGCAAACTGGTGACTGTCACTGTTATCTGTTGACACTGGGAAATTGATTTCTGTCAGACTAGTCCACCAGTGTTAAACCCAACAGACAAGTGACTTTGGCTGCTTAGCAGTTTACCTGTACCTGCACCCTGCAAGGTATAGAGGTTGTAGGGTTAGATTTGACACTGTCATCCAACAACCATGTTTTAGAAGACTAGAATAATACAGCTGAATGTGTTTGCTGTCTATTCTCAATAGCTTCTGTCTCCCTGAGCTTATTAACTTTTGTAAATAACATTTTCAACCATTTTTTCAAATTTACTTTTTTTTTCCTCTATTTTAATTCTTATCGTGCAGTTTCTTTAACAAATGAGGATACAGTATTTTTATAAAAATTCATTGGAGTAAAAAGGGGGGGAAAAAAAAAACTTGGGTCTAATTTTTTTTTTTGTCTACTTGAAACAAATTTTGAAATATCTTTCTCTTCCTGTTAAATTATTTTTTCTTTTTAAAAGATATTTATAAACATTTTTAAAAAGATTTTTACTTTGGTGATAAAATTTTCATGATAAATTGTAATGTTGAAAAGATTATTTTTTATTATTTTATTTTTATTTTCTAAAACATTTCTTTTGAAGAAGTTTTAAATCTAAAAAATATTTGATCATAAATTAAAAATAATTATGACTGAGATGCCAAGATTAAAATATTTTTTTTTTTTTTTTTTTTTCTTTCATAAACTCAAATTTTTCTTAAATGAAAGTAGATGGTTGTGATTTTTATAAGATTGTTTATGAAATTTGTTAAAAATGTTTCCAACAGATTTTATTTAATGATTGTTAAAAAGTTCAAAATATAAATAAGCATGTCTTCTTACAGGATTTTGATGACATAGCTTGATTATTACTTAAATCTATGAAGATTTGAACTTAAAATTGGTTAGCAAATTTCTGTTTGCTCTGCAATTATGCCAGTTCCTTAAATAATTCAATCTTTTTAAAATTCTTTATTCAATTTTCACAATGCACAATTGGAATTACTTCATACATGTAAGAGGCAAAGATTCACATAAAGATATCTATGATTCTCATAGATTATAATTTATTATTTTGCTATTTAAAGATATATTAAAACACTAAATTCATTTAGCAAATATTTTCCGCTTGCATTTCTCTATTATTTAACTGTTGACATAAAAACAATAAAAATTTATAACTGAAAGAAATTGTGAGCTTATGAAACTAAGAAGCTGAAGACAATCTATTGTACTGTGTAAAACTCTACTCTCTTTTATTCTTATCTTAGGAAGGGATCTTTGGGGTTCTTGATAATATATATTCCTTTTTACTGATATACAAATACCTATTTGTCATATTTCATTCTGCAACAGTTTCTTGATTTTTATTTCAGGCTATCAAAGAAACAGAAGAAGAAGAAAAAGCAACAGCGACTTCTTGCCCAGGTATTCTCAATTTTTTTCCCTTTCATTACCATTTTTTCAACAGTCAAGAATTCTTGTCATAAAATGATAGCTAAGTGGTTAGAGCATTATATTTGAGGCCATGACATTTAGGATTCAACCATGAATAGAAAGAGTTGAGTTTTGAGATTCTTGAAAAAGGTAATTTTAACTGTAAAAGATTTTTCTTTAGACAGTGAAATTTATAGTGTTGGTAAATATTAACTTCTTTATGTGCAAGGTAAAGGATTTTTTTTGCACTTAGAAATACATTTGCTATAAATCTTACATCAAAACTGACATTATTGTTTGTATTAGATCTCCAATAATTACTAATTATGAATTTTATTCTTAGTTGTCATTGGGAGGGAAGAAAATTTCACCTTTGTGTAATAAGCCTTTGATTATATCATTGTTCCTCTTTAGGTTGACAGTAATTATTAATTATTGTTTTTATAAACTTTTTCTATTTTGAAATGAGATGTTTCTCCTCTGGGCATCTTTTGCTCTATCAGTGAGGTATACTTGCAGATGCCTCATTCAAGAATTACCAAAAACCATGTTGGAAATTATATAGTTTTTTCATTAATAAAATATTTTAGCAGCTTTTTGTGGAATTTATTTTTATTTAGATTAATAATTTTAAAAATCTGATTTTCATATCATAAATCTGTTTATACAATGTGCATTTTATGCTATGAAATAATTTCATTTGAAAATTTCACTTTCATTTGTTTATGGTTATAACAAGTTGGTTTGTGCTGCTTTTTTATGCAATTTTTAAAGTAATGTTAAATCTGTTGACTTTGAATGAACATTTGAGAATTACAAATCTGCTACCAAAAAAAAAAAAAAAGATTTGAAAAACAACTAATTTGAAATTTTAATGTGGTCATCAGACTATTTTGATATTTTGGGGCTTGGGATTTCTTTTCTAACTCCCCTACCATAATTTTTTTTTCTAAAAGCTATTTGTGCAATATCAGTGCAGGAAATAAATCATTATTAATTATTCAATTAACTTGAATTATCGAAATTTAAAATAAAATAAAAAATTGTAACTATTTAATATTTTATTTTTTCCCTTGTAGCCAAATGAAGAGGAAGAAGTTGACAATTTAGGTGATGTCACTAAAATTCTTGATGAGAAGCTGGAAATAAATGACAAATTTAAACTATCTCCAAAGACTCCACCTGAGTAAGTTGTATATTACAGTTATCACCACTATCCCAATAATAAGTGTTATTAACATTGTCTTTATTATCCAAATTCAAAAATATTTTTATACTAAATGTTCATCTAATACAAGGCTCAAGAGCCACTCATGACAGAGGGTTACTGAATGTAAGAGCAATTAGAAGAAAGTGAAGATTATGGGAATAAGAGAATAGATAGCAATTGACACTTGATTTGAAGTGGTTAAGATTGTAGTGTTCAGGGAATCATCCATGCAGGAATTTGTTCTACAGTTGTTCTCTGGTAAAATGAAATATGGAGGAAATGTGGATTAATCTCTGTGGATGAAAAATGGCAAGTTGTAGCTCTAAAGGTCTAAACTGGTAGGACTAAAGAGATATCTTAATTCAATAATCATGAAGCAAATTATTGCTAGTATTAGAAGGGAATATTTTCAATTTGTTTATTATATGCATATTATTCAACACTGGATAACATAACAACTGAAGCAAATAACCAGTGTGATAATCTTGATATATTACTGATCATTGTAAGAAAAATGACCATTATAATTATGACATTTTCATGAAATTTATGACATATAGTTCAGTTTTTAGAGCTGATCAAGTGACACTCTTTATCCCTTAACTACCTGTGTTATAAAATGTTTTCTCCATAATTAATCTTAATAAATCTTTAATACATAATATAAATATCAAATAAAATTTTTACCTTGACTTAATAAAAAAAAAAAAAAAGGAAATCAGTTTATCTTGTAAAATCTGCAGTATAAATATCATTTTTTATCAAACAGAAAAAAATGTAAAGCAAGACAAAAAAAGAAAAAAAAATGTTTGTCAAGATATACTGGTAAACTTATGATAACACTTATCAGGATTTTGAAAGGTATTAGAAGTCTTCTACTCCACAGCTCCCACTAAATTAGGTGACTTCAGTGACTGTTACTGGCTTTGGTGCAAGTTCCATGGCTAAGCATTGTTATATTATCATCCATCAAAAGTGCTATTATGAAGTAGTCAGTGCTATAAACAAGTAATGTCAGGTTGATTTGGTAAGGGGAATTGTGAGTGTTGCATTTATATTTTCAAACCTTTCCACCCTCTACTCCTTGTGTTATCATTATTACTGTTTCCCAGGGTTGGGCCCATGTGTAAATGCACCAGCACAACAAAGCACATCATCCTTTATCCCACCCTTCCTCATTACAAAATGTTTTCTCTAGAAAACCAGCTTAAAATTAACTGGTGATAGGGTGGCATGAGGTTTGTGGCTGTAGGGGGAAGTCAAGAGAGATGTGAAAACAGCTTTTGTTCTCTTCTTTAAATAACAAATACCTTTAAGATGAATTCTATGAAAAACAAGAGCCTTAACCCTTGTTAAAATAAAATGCTTAGGTAAAAAAGAATAAAAACACTAAAATCCAAAATGTGATCTTTGCCTAGTAGTAAAGTTGGTTCAACATTTTAAATAGTCATCCCTCACCCCTCCTTACTCAATCAGGGTCACATGTTAGACATCATTTTTTTTGTTCACTAAAGAAATCCCTGTTTTAGTTTAGTAATTTGTTAGCAAATTTTTACACTTCTTTAATATAAGAAAACTTACAATTAACTGGGTTTGAAATTAGTTTGTAGTTTGTCAATTTAATTTGTTATAACAAATGTTATTGATCTGGAAATGCAGACAATCAAAGATCAGATCACATTTTATCTTATGCTTTAACACAGAGCTAAGAAATTTGTTCTTAAAAAATCACTGCAATATTCATCATTATTACTACATTTTCCAGGTAAGCATTTTATACACTTCAAAAGACATTTCTATGCATTACATAAATTTTATTGCATTAATCTCTGGGTGTTCAAGACTATTTTGAAAGAAAAAATTGAACATATCCTGATTGAAGCATTTTCAAATAGATGTAATTATTTAAAAAGTTTTAATTAGCTGTTTCAAGAAAATAAAAAGCCCCTCAAATTGTCGCAAGGCATTTTATATTCTTGTAACAGATCAAATTTTTTAATTGTTATTTATATTTTTATGCTTTAGGTAGTACCACAAATAATAAGTATACCTGAATTTGTGCTTGCATAGAAAATTCTCTGATAATGTTGATTTTTTTTTTTTTTAAAAAAAAAAAAAAAAAAAGGAAAAAGAAACAACCTTGGAATTTATTATTAGTTTTGAAAGTTTTTTCCACAAAAGCAAATATTAACTTCAATCAAGAACTCAGAAAGAACTAATATGCAGAGGACTGCTGAAATTGCTCTATTTCCCAAAATCTGTCCAAATATCAGATTTTTGTGAGAGGATTTCTTGGTTAAATTGAGACCTTTTTAGCACTCTTTATAGAACCATTTATTATTAATTGACATTGTAATTTTTAATTGTCAAGTTTTCTTATTAGCATGAGTTCAGAATAAACCATCTTAAGACAATAGATGCACTAGAATCACTTAATTTTATTCATATCCATAGCTGTAAAGTTACAAACCTCCAGTTGAATCAGATTATGACATTTTTTTATCCTGCTGAAGTTACTTGCATTTAAGTTTTTTTTTTTTATTTAAAAATTTTCTATATAGTTGATATACTTACTGATTTTCTAGATAAGTTGACAGTGTTGAGGTCACTTTGTATCTTACAGAAATTATAAAAATTGTTACTTGAATAAAAAATTAATTTACATTGCTATTTGATATAGTGTGGTATAAAAGTTAGTATTATTATATAAAACTTTTTGGTAAACTTTAGCTAAAGTTGATATTAAGTAAAGTATTGATGTGTCCATTCATTAATTCAGCAGGATTTGAGTTAGAATGTTAAATATTTTGGGATTGAATAATAATGTTTTTGTGTATTATCATTTGTGTATTGTAAAAAAAAAAAAATATGCTTTTCTCACCCTTCAATTTGGATCAAATATAGTATTTGTTCTTGTTTAATGGAAAATGTATAAAACTTTGTCAAACAAGATGTTTTTTTTCTTTAAAGCTTTTCAATAAATATATATATAGATGTAAAATAACTTCTATATTTTAAACTGGCTGGGGGATTGAATTCATCTATTATAAAACTAGTTTCTTGTGTTATACAGGAAATGAATTGTATCCTTTTTTCAAATGAAAAATTTGAAATGAAAATGTTTCTAGCCCAGTATCTGGACAATAAATCACCTCTTAAAATATAAAATGTTGAACATACTGATCTGAACAACACTTAATAGAAAAAATAATTATAAACTTCTAATTTTCATTTCTGTTTAAGAAATTATCTTTCTAATACAAAGAACTTAGGAACATTTTTGTATGTCATGGCTTCTTCCTTGGGATTCTGTGGGAGGTTTTAATTCAATTTTGTATATAATGTAAAGAGGTACTGAAAAGTTCTCAGTTCAAACAAAAGGCCTTTCCAAAAAGAAATTTGAAGTGTGGTCATTTGCTCAAAATTTTTAAAGTAGGCTAGGTTTAGAACTTTTCAGCACCTCTTTTTATGCATTGACAATTTTTTTTTTTTTTTTTAACAGTAAACAAAGAAAAAATATGAACTGATATTTGAATTTTTGATGTTTAAAAAACAAGTTTGTTGTGAACATGCTATACAATTTAATTGTAATTCTTGGATTGATAAAGATAATGATACATAAGTTAAATATAATTCTCAAATTGATATATATAATACCATACTTTATATTTGTGCAGAGCTGAATAATTTTACGCATGGTCAGTTTTATATTAAACATTCTTAGCCCTTTAAGTTGAAATCTTTGCATCTTCACCATTGAATATTGCACATTCTAAAAGTTTTTACAAACACCAAGCTTCTTTATATTTTGCATATATTGTTAAAATGAGAATTATAGTAATGGATAATGATGTCAAGCTTCATGTTGAATAACTTTCTGCTAGTCATGAAAACATTTTGTTTGTTTTACAGGCCAACAAAGCAATCAGATAAAAACACACCACCAGAATCTATTAAAGAATCTCTACAGGACTTGCCTGAACGGCAGCAAAAACCAAAGAAACATATTGTTGAAGAGAAAAAGCCTGTAGTATGTATGCAATAATTTTCTTTAATGGCAGTGTTATTCAACTTCACTAAAAATTTTGTTGGATAATATTATTTCCTTTGCTTTTCTGGTAAGAGGAAGCAGGTAATTTAATTTGGCATGGAAAAGAATTAACAAATAATGTAATATGCATGTGGAAAGACTTATTAAAACTGTTATCTTTTATGAGGTAATTGAAAACATTCTTGTGGTCTTCTACCAATGCTTTTTCTAATTAAATTATATCTGTCTAGTTTCTTTTAAAGAAGGTGATTTTAATTTTAAAAAATCTAAATTGAACTATTCTATTTTTATCAATGCCAAAAGCCTCCACTTAATGCCATTAAAATTTACAAAATAAGTTATTTATCCATAGGTTCACATGTAAAATTAATTAAATGAGCAATTACTGAGTTTTTTTACTGTCGTAGATGCAGAAGGTTATCTTCTAAAATATCATAGTTTAGATTTTCAAACTTTTGAATGTTGAGTACTAGCAATGATTAAGAAAGAAATTGTTTTTTATTCTTATTTATATTATATAAATTATTTTTAAAAGCATTTATATTTAAAGGTTTTTACTAAATGTTTAAAGCTGTTTCATCTTATGAGAAAATCAAATATTTTTTATCATCCATGTGAATCATGAAGTAAAATATTCCATTTCCTGTAATTATTCCAACTTTTCATAGAAAAATTATATAAATTCAAGTTATATAACTGATAAAGCTTTTTTTTTTTTTGTTTAATCCAATGAGTTTAGAACTTTTTGAATCTCTTATTTCTATTCTCAGTATTCAATGAAACAATCTTATAATGATAATCTAATAAATTAAAACATAAGTATTTAATTGAATAATATTGAATTTCCTTGTTATTTGTTATTCAGAACAAGTTTTAATTATTATATCAATATTTATATATAAATTTTTAATATCTTTTTATACATTTTTTTTCGTTAATATAAATGCCTACTTTATAAGAAAATGATATTTTCCATTTAATGAAATTATTTATACATTTCGTATTGGGTAAAATGTTGATATTTAAATTTGTTAATATTATCCAATATTCAATTTGTATAATGATTTTGTTGAATAATGCCAAAATACTCACCTTTGGCTGATTTCACAAGCTCATTATGAGTGCTTTTGTATTTTTTTAGACAATTGTGGATGAGATTTTTTTTCCTTTCAGATGTCTGTTAGCAATTTTATTTGAAATAAAATATTAAAGACACCTCTTTGTTATTTTTAGATCATTAATTTTATATATTCTTCAGTTATTATTTTATATGGTTTTCCTGTTTCACTCAAGGTAATATTTTCCTTTTCTCTCATTTTTTTTTTTCCAGCAACTACACTTTTGTAACACATGTAGCAAAGATTATCCAACCCGCAATAAACTTTTTGAACATTTGAGAGAAAGTGGACACCAGAACCGAATTCCTAATTCAAACTTGCCCAGTACAACTGCTCAAGGTAAAGGGTCCAAGAAAGGAAAAAAGAAAGACAGAAGATGATGAAGACACTCATATTTAAGTAGAAATATGTGCAGATATTCTTGTATTGTAAATAAATAAATAAATAATACAAATGATAGTTCATTATTTTTTTTAACTGTTTTGTATACTTTTTTTTATTTTTATAGCATATATTGTTAACTGCATGAAAAAAAAAACATTTTGTTAGATATTCTCTAGTCTGTTCAAAATCACATAAACCAAAAAAAACAGATTTAATATAGAAATTAAAAGAACTAGAGAAATAGTGCCAAGTTTTTGATACACCAGCAAGTTACAAAAATATCTTTGCAACTAATTAGGGATTTTTAAAATAAAACTAATTAAAGCCTTCATGATAACAAAATTATTTTATGTTTTTTTTTCTTTTTCAATATTCTTGTTTATGATAATACATTTGTCAAAAGAACAATTTACACAATACCTTCTGCAAATATTGAAACTCAATGTTTACTTTAACTTTGTGTAATCATTTGATATTTTTTAGTCTTTCAATATTTTAACTGAAGTATATGAAAATATTTTTAAGTATTTGTAGATTATTCTTAGCAAGTGAAACCTGAATGTTTCTCTAGGACATTCCATATCTTAAATAATTTACAATATTCCTCCTGCCCCAGTAAAATTTGTGTAAATTAGTTATTGTGAGATTTTATAGTTTTTAAAATATTTTTGCCATGCTCACTTTTTTCCTCGGTGATCTGGTTATCATTGGACCACTTAGGTATAGAAACAGTCATCAATTTGATTATTTCAGATGCTACAAGAAAGAAAGAAAAAAAAGAGTTTTTATTGTGCCCTTTTTTTTTTTTTTTAAAATATGAATCTCAGCTATATTCCTAGCTAAAGTAATTCACCTGCATTGGTATTGGCAAAGATTTCATTTTTTGTAAGTTATGGTTTACCATGTTTAGTTCCAAAAGAAATTAACATTTTCAATACTTTATTTGCTAAGTGATAAAAAATAAAGAAGCATTGTCACTGAAAGTGTAGTGCTTCATAAACTAAATGTTTTTGAATGAACTGTAAACCTTTTGTTTCTAGTTTTATGACTTGACCATTAAGTTACTAGCATTGGCAATTTTTAGTTATTTAAGTTTCAACAATTGTATAAAATTGTCAGCTTATGACTTTCAATTCTTTTTGCTGCTCTTTATAACTGTAAAATCTCTATAGATTATAATTAACCATTACAGTTCAATTTTAAAATTCAAGAAGGGATTTAGAAATGGTAGTGAATTTTTTTCTTTTTTAGATTTTGCCCATACACTGACGTTGTAAAAGTAATTAGATTAAACCTTGTAGCATGAAAGTGTTAAAGTAGATTTGACCATCATTTTTTTCCCTTTTTCTTTGCAAATGAAACCAAATCACTTGTTAGTTGTTTTACAGTGTGTCACATGCACACTGATGTCTGAATAGGTCCTTTTGTTTTCCTGCTTGCCAGGGGAGGGAAATGCACATCAGAAACTTGATTGCAGGTGTCAGAGATGGTAACTTATTCCTCAATCCTTTGCCTGTTAGCCTCAGTGACATAAAGTAGACTAAAGTTGTCATTGCTTTGTTTAGTTCTGTCACTAACGTTGGTCTTCTGTCACAATTCCATTTAAACTGAGCATCTTACCTCCAGCTGTAAACATTTGGCATTGAAAAACTGGTGACACCTTTGCAGACATTCCTTTCAGGCGGGTCGACAGCCTGACTTCAACATTCCTGGGTTGGCTCTAGTGAGTGGAGGGAAGGGAAGAAAAATTTGGTGCTTTACAGTTGAGGCCATCTACTCTAACTTTTTATACCTTTAAAAAGTTTTTTTTTTTATTATTTTCAATTTGCTTTTTACTTATTTTTTTTACTTGTTAATATGAATTTTTCTTATAATTTTTATTTGTCAGTATTTATCTTCCTCTCCTAGATGAAGGTAGATCAGTGGTTCAATCTTTAAATTTAGTTGTTCACTAATATTTTAGAACGAAAGCAAAACCTACTTCAGCTTTATATTATATTTCAAATATGATTCATCAGTGTTGAACTTGATATTAAAATCAATAATAGGAAAAAAGTTATCTTTGATGCACTGCATTTGGTTAGTAAATGTTTTTTGATGTCTGGTTTGCTTTCTTTTCAGTATGACCACAGATATGTTTTATAAAACATTGCAATAACAAATATCTTTTCGAAGTTTTAATTTTGATTCTAATTGCAAGGAAATTGCATAAAAACCTTTTCCTTTTTTCAATTACATGTTTATCATTTTAAAACCTTTCGGTTGAGAACCAGTCTAGGAAGACAACTCTGAATTCAAAATTATAGAGAAAGCAACAGCAAATCATTCTTACCCAAGAACACTCATTGTAATACACAATTTGGATATTAAACAAGAGATCCATAATTGCCTATGTTCTGAAGGGACATGACACTTAAAGAGAGAGAGAGAGAAAGAAAATTCATTTTCAGTGGTAGTTGTTGGCATTAAATAATCTAAGTGTGCTGACTATTGTAGATCTTGTAAGCACAAGAATGTCCATAAACAAGGCTGTTTTCTCTTAGCTTTAAATTAAATTCCCTTTAAGCAATGGAAATGTAATAACTTTTATTATTTTACCACCTGACAGAATTTGTATGAGCAGATAAGTAACAAAATAAACTGAACAGTAATAGGTAAATTTCATTGTTGCTACCAAAAATATAAAAATGCACTTATTAAAAAAAAAATCAAGGATAGGATTTATTATTTTAAGTCCTTGCAAGTTTTTAATCTTCTGCCCAGTAAGCACTACTGGTAAATCATTGAAGTAGCTTAGTCATGTTTACTGAATTATTATTATACCCCCCTCCCCACACACACAAATAAACATTCTGCCAATATCCTCTTTCACTTCTCACTCTTATTTTCAATATTATTGAAGCATCTTTTCCCTCCAATGACAGAAATGTGCTGAGGTTTTATTTTTGCTATGAACCTATCTTCCTTACTAGGATCAAATGCAAAACTCAATTTTTTGTTTCTCATGTAATCTCTTTCTAAGCTAAAATCTGCCCTAATGTAGCACTTTACATGCAAGGAAATTTCACTATTATTTTCTTTTATTTTTCTGAAATATCAATGAAATGTATTTTTTATGATTTTTTTGTTTTTAATTTTATGAATGTATTTTTTCTTCAATCTATTGTATGCTGCCACTTCTGGGGAAAAAAGACTAAGGTATGTTAGTGTATCCCAAATTTATTTTTAACTGCCATGTAGTTAGGATGATGCATTTGTCATTACAATTGGTTCCCTAAAATGGAAATTACTTATGACTCAACCTAATATATTGTCAGTAAAAAGTTTTCCCCTTGAACATTTTAATTAAAATAGTCACATCTAAATTTATCAGTGTACATTTGTAAGCCTATAATTTTCTTTTAAATTTCTTTACATTCTTTGGATTTCATGTAGTTTCTAAATATTAAGCACAATACTTATTGTCCTTGAACTATTTTTGAAATAAAAAAAAAAAGAAAAGTGAGTTTTGGTTTTGTAATCTAGTAAATTATTCTTCCAGATTCAATGTTTTTTTTTTTTTTATCTTCTCAAAGGTGGAAGAATTTTCTGAAAATTTGCACAGGGTTTTGTTATGCAACTGAATTTTAACCTTTTGGAGGGAAAATTTTTCTGGACATATAATTTATTTTTGATAATTATTATAAGAACTTATATTTGATGACATATCATGCACAACTTGTTTTAAGGAATTTTCATAGAATATCATGAAAAGGAAAGGTAATGAACCATTTAACATCTATAAAGGTAAGGTTTGATTTTGCATATTTCTACAAGCACAAAAAAGTAATTAATTTTGATCTATTTATAAACTTTGAAGGCAAATTTAAAATTGCTAATGGAAGCAGTTTGATTGGACAGTGATTTTTGAGTTTTTAACCAATGAGAATAAAAAGTATCCCCCCCCCCAACAACCTGAATTTATTTTTGATCCGGTTGGGGTCACTTGTTTGCTATATAATAGGGAAAATTTTCACTGCAAAATCAGAAAGGAATAGACCATACCTAATCAAGAAAGATGTGATCTGTTAAAAAAGGAATGGCCAACACAGATATGTAAAGCCTGCTGTGAAAGAATTTGACTACTTGTGTGAGAAAGCTGTGGCTTGGGTTGATAAAAGGCTGCTACAGCTGTTACTAGTACAGCTGTTGGTGAAGAATTTTCTAAATTTGATTTCTGAATAACTTTTAACTTATGAGTTTATCTAATCTTTTCTAAACCTGTGAGAGTTTCTCATATTTGAAAATGCCTGTTCTGAAACTGTAACTATTTTGTTTAAAGGACCCAAAGAACCAGCACCACCTGAAACAGGTCACAATTTTCTCCCCACCACCTGTCCTTCAACATTTTGAATTATGAACTTTTCAAAGTAAATTTTTGTTACTAAGAAATTGATTTACATGAATTGATGCTCTAAAAGAAAATTGTTAATGTTGTTTTTCATAGACTGTTGTTTTCTAAGAGAAAATAGATTTGTATTGCAAAGAATTGTTAATCTACCTTGATAGTTTGAGCTACACAAAGGAAATTTTGTGCACAGCCTATATTGTTTTTGAACAGTTTGTGTATTGTAAAAATATTTTTTATATAAATGTTTGTTTCTTTGCAAATTTCACTTTGGTAAGAGGGTCTTTTTCATTTCCACTTCTAAAATTACTTGTAAAACATCAGGTAAGAGAGTCAAAATCTATTTCAAATTTTTTCTTTTTATTACTTCTGAAGGTAGAGCTTTAAATATGTAAAATTAAACATGAAAATGACTTTTTTTTTCCTACTTTTTTTTTTGACGACATTTTGTCTTGCGATTTTTATTTTATGCAAATTAAAAAGTGTTCATTTTCAAAATTTCTAAATATCTGGGTTGTATACCTTCTTCAAAGAAGGTAATATGTTTATATTAAATTATTTTGCTTATAAAATTTTATAAAGCAAAATAAATAATTATCTGGTGATATCAAAGTGTTATATGATTTCAGTTTTTATAAATATTGATCCTAAATCAAGGGAACTTTTATATATTTCACATGTGAGACTGTCATATATAATTGTTATATTTTTATTTTATTGATGTTTTATAAAATATGTTCAAAAGTATTTACAATTAGATTAATGTCCTCATTTTTGTTGTTGTTATCACAACATGTCAACTATTGTACCTTCCAGCCTTCTTCAAGTGTCTGCCAATATTTCAGAGAATTTCAAAATTTAAATTATAGGGGTAGATTATTCTTGTTCCACTGATTATTTTTAATTTCATTTCCCCTTTTTTTTTTTTTTTTTTTTTTTTTTCCTCTCTCGCCCTAGAAGGATTAAAAAGTTGGTTCATGAATTTAGTTGCATAGTAATATTACGAGTTCAGTCCCTGGGCCAGGTAGTACAAACTCAGACTCAGTTGAAACAGGGTATGCAGTAACTGAGTAGTACACAAAATGCTATTTATGAAGAAATTCTTGATAAAATACAAAGAATCAGCAATGTTATTGGTCCTGACCTGGTATCTCAGTTTGTCACTTTCGCACCACCATAACAGTTTCTTCTCTCCCACTTTTCACTTGTGGGACTCTCTTCTGGCTTCTTGCTTCCCAGTCAACTTTGATCTTCAAAAATTTAAATGCAATCTCAATCGTTATCTTCTGCCTTAATTCCTGTTCTTTTATTAATTTCTTTTATTTCTCATATTCACTCATTCCTTTGCTTTAGGTGAAATGGTTAAAAAAAAAAAAAAAAAAAAAAAAGATATCTTCAGACATGGACAGTGTAACGAAAACAATCTAGCCTTGTAGATGGATCAGGTTGAAATTCCATGAAGGTTACTTAAATTAACAGACACTTGAAGAAAGCCAAAGGGTACAATGCTTAAAATATGATAATATCCTAATCTTTGTTGCTATTCTTATTGTAAATAATGTTCAAAGGGATAAAATGTAAACCGGTATGTCCCAATTCATTCTTCTAAATTGAATTCATTCTAAACTGAAACTTTGGAGAATCTTTTATATTTAAAACCTACAGAAGACAAAAATTTAATTTAAAAATAAAATAACTGCTGATTTTATTTAAACTTTGCATATTGCTGTCTTTTGTAAATGTGCGTGCATACATACATGTAAAATTGCCTTGAATTATCAGAATTGATTTTTTTTTTTTTTTTTTTCATTCAGTTGTTTATTTTAGCATCCAACATGACTGGACCAAAGTCTCCTGCTCTAAATTTTTGCAGAATTATATTGGCTGCAGCAGTGAAATCTGGTCTGTAAACTATGCGACCTAGAAAATAAAAGAAACATTTACAAAAACAAGAAAATATATATTTGTTCTGATTAGATTAAATGATTATTTAAACAACTTGAATAATGAAAATTGACTCTTCAGGATGTCTTATTCAGTTTGTAACAAGACAGGAGGATTTTGTTGGTAACAAAGAAGAGTACTAAACTGCTATGTGATATCTGTCCTCCTTTATGGCAGTGAATGTTAGACAGTCTCCTCAAAGATGAAGAGACTTGAGGCAACAAAGGTGTGGTTCTACAAAAGGATGCTAAGGATACCATGGACTGAACATGTGAGCAACAATGAAGATGCAAACAAAAAGGAAACTCATACTTAATATCAGTGTTATGTGTTGGAAATTGTAACAAAGGAAAAAAAATTTTGATTTATTAAAACAGAGAGCTAAATCACAAACAAATATTTAATTTTCTAAAACACAACATAAAATATATACAAGATATACAAAAACAGAAAACAGTGTTTACGGGCGAAGTGTTACGAGGGAGAAGGAAGGGGAGTCAAGTCTTATTACCACATTAGGGCTAGTGAAATAATCTAAGTGCTAACTGGAAATCCACAAATGTCAGTATATATTGAATAATTGGTAGTTTGGTCAATGAAAATAGTCAAAACTCTATTTACCAGATTTGTTCCAAGGGGTTCTCTTTTGGGGCTTTTGTTGGTCGGCAACTTTTCATAGAGATTCTTTCGTCTGGATATAATAATCCTCGAATCAAAAAGCCGGAGTTGATACTGGCAGAAATTTCTTTTCACAACTCGCAACCCTTTTCCAAAAACCTATTTTTATAGGGGCTAGTACCTAATTAGCATATTTCTAGATTTTTCTCGAATATACTAGAATGATCTAGAATATTCCAAACGTTCTATTTCTAATTTGTCTATTTTACAACTACTTCATGAATGAAAACTTTTTTGTATTAACAAGTAGGACTCAGTAGAATTCCTTATAGAAATGCATCCTCATAAGAATCAGGAAGAGGCAGCTGAAATTTCTGGGACACGTAATGAGGGTTTGGAAAATCTGATACAGAGGGGAAGAGGAACAAGGGAAAGCAATGTGTGACATACTTAATGGGCTTAAGCAAGGGGATGGCTGAACAGGGTGTGGGAGAAATAACAAAAAGTCAAAGCTTATTGAGAGCTACAAGGGACAGGAAGAAATAGAGAGCCATGTTTACCTACATCCTGAAGGAAAATGGCACATAAAAGTAGAAAGAAGAATGTCTGAAGATGATGTAAATTACAATGAATAATTAAAACAAAAATAAACTGTATTTTATGGCTCTCTTAAAGCACCAATCTATTTGAAAGCAACTTAAACATGACATCTTGTAAACTCCACACCTCATTCTGTCAATTGCAACAACTTCTCCACCTGTGCTTGTTCTTTCTTGATATCTACATTTACAGACTGCCCCTATTAAGAAAAAGGTGACACTTGTCTAAGAAGTAATCCAACAGGTTGCAGGTTCTCTTATTTGTTTTGACCTCCTTCACCTCAAAAATGTCAATAGAATTATAGTAGACAATTCTTCTTGACACTTTCTTTTAATTTAGTTAAAACAGCAGAATTTACCAGTATCAAATAGAAGCTTGAGTATGGGGGAGGGGTGTTGTAAAGTTCTCAACCCAACTCACTCCCCAAAATCTGATCAAATGACCAAACATTTTATTCACCATATATACCCATGTATCATGTGACCTTTGAAGACCTAAATATGAAGCTAATTTGACTACAGTAAATGGATATATAGTTTGGCCAATGGCATAGCCAGGGCCAGCAGTATATATGCTAATTTTATATCTTGTGTATGATGCGATTCCTTAAAATTAGCTTAAAAATTAGGTCTTCAAAAGTTGCATGATGTGCCAGCATATACAGTAATCCCTTTTTGGTTGGTCCAAGAATTTTTCAGCTCTTTCATACACATATATATATATATATATATATATATTTTTTTACTATATATATATATTTTTATAAAACTAAGTCTTATGAAGCATGGTGGAGTAATGGATAATGGCTCAAATTGAGGAATTAGAGAGCCAAGTTTGATACTTTCGCTTACATGCAAGTACCCTTCTCTTGTCCCTCTAGCTATGGGTAAATACCAAGACAAACTGGGTCCTATAGCTTTGGGTGGCAATTGGTCTAGGAGAAGGACAACCTTGAATCCAAAATCTCTATGGGTTAATAGCCTAACCAATTCACCAAGTGTGTTGAGTATGGCTACAGTCCTGAAGACATGGTCAATCAGGAGGTGGGGGTGGGTTTAATCCAACAGGAATGTGTAGGCCCTGTATTTGGATTTGGAAGCATAAAGGAAAAATTTTAATCGAATAGATTGTATGTGATTAAATACAATATTTATAAATTTGATGTGTTGCCAGAAAGTAAATTATGTCAGTTTCTTAAAATTTTTTTATTAATTTCATCTCAAGCAAGACAATAGAGCCACTCAGATGCAAGGGGTTACTGGGAGTGAAGGAAACCAATAAAATGTCATTGAGAAGAAAGGATAATAAAAAGAATATGATTTAAGGAGACAGAAGATAATGATCAAAGTTGCCCTATTAGTCTCCTATTGCTTTTCAGTGAAGTATTTGAGTCTTTAATTAATGCTGAAGTGGTTACTCTTCTTACCTCGTATAACCTACTCTCTGACAGACAATATGGCTTCTGTTTTGCCTGGCCTACTACTGATGTGCTTACGGCCATTACTGAATATGTATATCAAGCTCTTTGTAATAACAACAAAGCTGGAGCTGTGTCTCTACATATCACCAAGGCATTTGACAGGGTTTGGCATGCTGGTTTTCTACACAAGTTTCAGGATACAGGATGATTGATTTAGTCCAATCATTCCTATGAAACCAGGAAATGAAGGACTTCTGAACGGGCTTGCTTCCAGATCCTTTCACAAGAACGCGGGTGTCTCCCGATGCTTTATCCTGGATCCTACACTGTTTCTGATCTACATCAATGATCTTCCTGGTGTCATCAGTTCCCAAGTAGGCATTTAATTGTGTCTTAATAGCTAATCAATCAGACCTGACACATTTAACCTGGCTGCTGATCTTGAAAAGGACTTCCAATCAGTGGTTAAATGAGACAGAAAAAGGCTTGTAAATTCTAATGCCTCCAAAACTAAACTGCTCTCACTTAACTGCCATAGAGAAGCTTCTCTGCCCGCTATCAGCATGGCAGATGCTTGACTCTTCTTAGCTTCACGTTTTCAACTAACTTGAAGTGGAACAACTACATTGAATTAATAGCTGCATCTACTGCAAGGAAAGTTGGTTGTGTCATGCCAGAAGGTTTTTCTTGTTAAAGTCCATCTTGCACATTTACAAACCTACTATTTGGCTGTGCATTGAATACTGTTGCCATATCTGATCTAGCACTCCTGCTATTCATCTCAAGATTCTTGACAAAATTCAAAGAAGGATCTGCAATGTAATCAATCCTGACTTGGCATCTTGACTTCAGTCACTTTCTCACCAATGTGATGTGGCTTTCCTCTGTCTTTTCTTCAAAAATTTTTATGTCAACTGATCTGACAAGTTTTTTTCCCTGGTGCCCTCAACTACATGAATTTAAGTGTGCTACTAGACTGGCATCTAGGTCCCACCTGTTTACTGTTAAAATAGTTAAATGTAACTCCTACTTCTACTCCAACAGTTTCTATTCTTGCACTTCCCAGCAGTGGAACACCTTCCCATTTACTTGCTTCCCTGAAAACTACAATCTTCAAAAATTTAAATGCAATGTCAATTGCCATCTTGAACCCTATTTATCTTTTATCCTTTCCCAATCCCCCCTATACCTAGTTTTTCTCTCACTTTCATTCTTTGTAACTCCCTGTGTCTTAATGGCATTCCCACCTTCCTTGAAGTGAATTGATAAAAAAAAAGTTCATCAGAACAATGGCTACTGAAAAAATTTAGAGAAAAGACACAGAGAAAAATAAGTTGTTATGTTGATTTGATTCTTCAAAATTTATAAAAATGTTTATAGCTTTGTTATTTCTGATATGAAATTGACAAAACTTTCACTAACCTTGATTAGAATCAAGTGATCGATGCTTGATGTATTTATTGTTTTTCTTAGCAACATGGTTCAATAAAAACAGAATGTCATCTGTGGGTTCTTCCAGTTCAAATTCTGTTACATACCTGAAAGCAGATAAAGATTGGTAACAAACTGCAGATATGTAAAAAAACAATTATCTTTAAAAAAAATCAGATGTAACTAAAATATATCTGCAAAAGGACAATATGAATAAAGATAAAAGGAAAACTTATCTTGGCCGAGATGTTTTGTCCTCTGATGGACTTTATCAAAGCAAACAAGGATTTTATTTTGCAACAAGTATTTATAAACAAAAGTAAAAATGCTGTTAGTTTTTCAAAATTGTTACATTTAAGAGTAAATATACATCAGGCAAGTTATGGAGGATGTTAAATGATGTAATTTAATGTATAACAAACAAAAGTGAGTAAATCTTGAATTTTTTGTACTGTAATTATTATTTATATTATTTTAGAAGAAGATTGAAGCATATAAGGGCCGAAACCTTGTGACTGTAATGAACAAAATGAAGACAACAGAGCAATTAAATCATTATATAATGAAGTAGCCTCATGTAAAAACTTTTTCAGTAGACAACTTAATCTTTATCTCAGGTCACAATTAGTTTACATAAGACTGGTGTCTACTAATTAAAATGTCAGAGACTTCATTTCCATGAGTGGATAATCCAAACAGTAAATTGTTTAAGAAAACTGTATGACGCTTTAAAAGGTTCAAGCATACTTACTGAAATTTTTGATGTCTGTTCAACCAAAACAACATGTAGTCTACAATAATATCTTCTCCAACTAAATGATCCTGAAGGCAAGCTATGAAAACATAGAAAGATAAAGTTATTCAAACATATCTTTACTGTGTTTTACTTTTGACAATATTTTAACCATTATGCTCTGATAATCTTGAAAGAAGATGAAGTAACATTTTCTTTCTTTTTTTATAATAATCTTTTTCCTCATTGGAATATGTGAACAGTAAAGTTTATGCCTGACTTGTTAATGTGTTTGTTGGTTATATATGTACAGGATGTTTCCAAGGTTTATATAGTAAAAGTTTTGAATCACTTTGAAATAATAATTTAAATATCTATTGAATTTTTCCATCTTGGAAAATGTTAAAATATGAACTTCATTATTCAAAAGATCTTTGTGCTCGGTTAATAAACATGATCAAATCTTGTAATTTGAGAACTAAAGAATTTATTTGGTATTAATTTTTATATTTAAGAAGCTGAACAATATGTTCAAAGTTGACGTTCCCATCATTCAGGGTCCCCAAACTTCAGTTAACCTTTTATTAACATTTTAATTTTCTTTAATCAATAAAAGTCATTGTTATAATGGTAGAAAGACTAAAAAATCTATAAGATATAACAAAAGTAAGATATAACAAAATTTTTTCAATCAACTTATACTTTTTTATTGATTGCATGAGCTCTTTAACCCATATCCTCCTGATGTCAGTTTAAACTGATCTTTTCTTTTTTTTTAATATATTTTGATCATTTCGTTTAAAGTTCATATTTTATTGATTTTGGAAACATGGAAATTTTCACTTTCTGAAATTATACTTTGTAATTATAATGCAGAATGCAGATATGTGCAAAAAAAAAAAAAAAAAAAAAAGGCGGTATCAGTTTAAACTTACACCAGAAGAATATAGGTTAATAAAAGTGACATAGCTGATGATCTTTGAGAATAGCACTGATATTTGGTTTCAAATTAGTGAGTTTAAATCTCAATTCATCACACTCTTTGCTTTTGCTAGAAATGAATTTATACAAGTAAAACCAGACAGGAAATCGAAGTAAAAAGGGGTTCACCACTGCACAAAGTTTGAGATACATGTTGATATTCATATTAATCCAGAAGTTACTGAATGAATGAAGAGTAATTTAGCTTCAAGATCCTCAGACAGTTCAACAGGTTTATCTTCCAGCTTAAATTCATTTTCCAGTTCTGAATTAAATGGTATAAAAATCCAGTAGGTATTCTTATTTTCTCCAAGTCATCAAAGTTCACTTCAGATTCTTCCTTTAATTTCTTAATGTGCTTTGCATAGTTATCCAAGTTATAATCAAGAATAATTTGTGTTTCATTTTCCAATTGTGATAGGTCAGAAATTTACTGAAAATCTTTGTAGCAATGGTGTTTTAAAAAGACTGATTAACACGATTTTTGGGGCTTGAATAATTTTAATATCTTCACTTTGCAAACAGGTCTGTACATCATTAAATGTAGATCTATGTTATATACTGTAGCTATGAACACTAATGGGTATGTCCCAATCCTCATAAATACATTAGACACTATTGTAAGTGGGGGTAATATGCTGTCTAAAGTAGTCCACCACTAGCAGTGGTTTACCTACTTCATGCTGCTGGCGAGTATTGTATTTTGTTGATTTCGTTTCCAACCTCCTTTTTGATTATTCCTCATTCAGTAACTTTTTCTAGGTTACAACAATCTACCAAATAGAAAACTTGGTTTTTATTCTTTTTAAATCATCAAATAGAACTGAATCTATACCTGTAAGAAACTCAATTAAACAAGCCTTTGCAAGTCAACACCACTTAACAGCCACTTTACTATATAAAAGTAATTGGTTTGCCATGTCATTATTTTCTTTTTCATACAGCTTCTCAGAAAGTGAGGAATTAAGAGGATGTTATTTTAATTTTATTTATCAATCTGGTACACACCTGTCAAGTATCATGCAATTTGTTACAGTTTTTTTGCCATAAGGTGGTGTCTGTGTAGTACTTAATGAATAGGGCATCTGTTGGGCATCTTTTCTTTAACAAAGGTAACAAATCCTATGTAATGGCCAACTATTGAAGGTATGTCATCAGTGGCCACTGCAATTATATTGTTAAGTGGAAATATTGCACTTGTTTACATATTCTTTGGAGTATTTAAAAATTGTCAGCTCTTGTGTGTTACATTTAATTTGAAAGCAAGAGCCCATCAAAAATTTGGTTTGTTGTTTGAGTTAGATTACTTGACAAGACATGAGAAAGTTTGAACTATGAAATGTTAATTTATCCAGTTCAAGAGAAAACTTACAATGCCCAAGCTCAGACATTTTTTTCCACATCTTTTTCCATCTTATCAATGCATCATTGCAGCATATTGGTACTTGAAGGTAAACATTTTAAAACAGTACCAGAGTCTTTTTTATTAGTTTTAATCATGATGCTAACCTCCAGAACATGGACTAATATTTTCTGCTGACATGAAATGGAAAGATTATGTTTAAACAATTGCTAGATCTGCTGCTAAGAAAATTGGTTCACTGTGTTGGACTAGGAGAATTTTGTGGGGCAGAATCTTTCTTACACATTTATAAGTTTATCATTCATCCATGTTTAGAATACTGCTGCCAAATATGGTCTGGTGGTTTTGTTATGTATTTGAAGATTCTTGTTGAAATACAAAGAAGAATCTGCAATGTTACTGGTCCTGACTTGGCATCTTGGCATCAGTCATTTTACTACTGCTGTAATGTAGCTTCCCTGTGCATTTCTATAACCATTTTCATTGTAAGTGTTCTGATGAGCTTTCCTCTTTGATACCTAGAATTTATTAATTTAAGTGCAGTACTAGATTGGCAGCAAGGGCTCATAATTTTACATTTGAGATGTCTAACTGTAATTTTTGTGCTAACAGTTTCTTCTCTCCCACTTCTTGCTTGTGGAACTTTCTTCTGGCTTCTTGCTTTTCAGTTAACTTTTATCTTCAAAAATTTAAATGCAATGTCAATTATTATCTTGTCTTCTTAATTCCTGTTCTTTTATTGTTCTCTCTTCTTAGTGTTTTCTTTTTCACATATTCTCTCACTTTCACACCTTGTGTCTTAGTGGCTTTAATACCTTGCTTTGGGGGAAATGATTAAAAAAAATACAAAAACTGTCCCTTCTTTAATTGATAGTTTTATAATCTCTTCTGCAATAGTATATTGTTTCCATCTTTTTAGCCCTTCCTTTATAACCAACTTGTGCAAGTACTTTAATAAATGAACCATAGTTTTATAGTTGCTTTACATATATATATACATACAGTAGGACCTTGCAGTACAAGTTTAATTAGTTCCCAGACCAAGCTCATATTGCAAATTACACAAATATTACAAAGCGCATTTTCCCTCTGAAATTAATGGAAGATTAATTAATCTGTTTCAGTTTATCCAAAGCATCCAAAATGTCTATTTTAGAATTAAAAAAAATAGAAAACAGGCAGTAAGAAATTAAATCACAAAAAGTACATGTAATAAGAAAATGATAAGAGAGAATGAATGAAATAAACAGCTTTTATTAAACTACAAATCTTTCATAAGAAAGTTTTTGGCATTTTCACTCAGAACTTAAGGATTTGTGGCATTTGATTTGCTTTCAGCACTTGCAGGTCATTTTTTTTTTAGAAACTTATCACTAGAAATCTGTTTTGTTCTTGATTTCAAAATGCCACAAAAATAATTAACACAATTTTTGTTTAACGAAGTAGTCACACAACTTGCACTTAATTTTTGTGGGTGGTATTTTTCCACAAAGTCGTTCACTTTTTTCCACATCACCAGCACTTTGATCTCACTCATGGGGGCAACCTCCGACACATTTTCCTCCTTGGTTAGATCTTTTACCTCCTTCATGTTTTGATGCTTCTGAAACAGCTGAAGTTCCTCTATTGTCAGCTCCTATCCATGCTCATCAGGAAAAGGAGGCAATCAATAGCATAGCAATACTTATCTGTGATAAGTACTTTGAAGAATTTTCTCCAATAAAATGAATAAATGTTCTGGATGTCAGCCATTCACAGATACACTTCACCCTGATTTTGACTGTGTCGTTTCTTAGAAATAGATATCATCAGCTGGAAATGCTTCCCTTTACCTCAGTCACCGACTTCTTTCATGTATATGATGGCTGTGAATTTTTACTTGTCCTATAATACAAAAATGATCACGAATGGTAGCTTGTAAAGCAACTTACTTGTATAATGGTGTACTTGTACTACAAGGTTCTACTGTATATGTGAGTGTTTCTAAAGTAATAGATTTTTTTATTTATTAATCCTACAGGTTTTGTCATTTTAAACATTATTTTTAGTGGATACCCATATTTTAGTAGACACTCAATTTATATATTAAACAGTATATTTATTTATTTTTGTCTACCAGCTTGAATATTTGAGAAATCTTATTAAAGAAAATATGTGCTCTATTTCTTTCATTCAGTCAGTTATGTGCCATGTGTGATACACACTTAAGCAATCATATATCTTTTGATATCTTTTGACAGATGAGGCAGATTCCCCCCCACCCCCCGCAATAGATTGCCATTTCTTTCTGTGGTAGGCTAGTTGTCCTCAAAGGCTATAGAACCCGGTCTGTCCTGCTATTTACTCATAGTTGGGTGGGGAAGACAAGGATTCATACCTTTCCTAAGGGTTTTAGCACATAATGTATGTATTAAGAACATAATGGATTTGACTGTAATTCAAACTCGGCTCTCCAATTTCTCAATCTGAGCCGCTATCCATTACTCCACTGTACCTCCCTCTTTCATTACTTTTGTTTAAAGTAAACCTAACATCTCATCAACATCCTTATGATTTAATTAAACTCCAATGGGTTGATATGCCATAAAACAAACCATTTAATTAAACAAATAAATTGCATACTTAATAATAATTATCCATTTTTCTTTCATATAAAAATACATGTTAGTAATAAAATAATCTTTATTAAAATTAAAAAGAAAACAAGTTTCCAACTTACAGCAAAGAGCTAACTTCATTCCAACACTTATGTTTTTCACTTCTGGCGCTAAAACTCCTGGGGTATCATACACATATATTTTGGGATTGGCTGAAACCTAGATTTGTAAAAAATGAAAAAAGAAATATAATTCATTATTAGTATAAAGAGATGTAAAATAAATAATCATTATTTACTAATTGCTCTAGTACATATATTTTGCAACAAAATGTACCTTGTACATATAAAAGAGCAAATAATATAGTTTCTAGTGTAAATGTATTTCCCAATGCATCCACATAATGTAAACACACATCAAGGACCTCTCTAAGTCATACACTGACTGGAAGAATCATTCTATGTTGTATTTTGATTCTCATTTGTGCTGATGTATATAAAAGTTGGCAAAGGTCTGGTGCACTTTAGGAAACAGAAGGTGAAAATTTTGCCAAAGTAAGAAATGAAAATGTGAATTCTTTTTCCAATATTGTTTTTCCAGTTTTTCAAATATTGTTATTTATTCATGGATTTGCACAGCACACTGTGAGTGTAGGTAGGTGACAGTTAGGACAATATTGCTGCTATCTCTGTCATGACAGACTAATGGACTAGATCTTCCCTTCAGCCAGGGAGATCTCTGTTAAGTGTTTGCTCGCAAGAGGAAGGAATAATGAAGATTAGAATTTGAACAACATTTATTGTTAGTATATACACAGTGTTGTACAGATATCACAAAATAGGTGGAATGTCCATTTCTGGAGTATTGTCTGGATAGTGATCAGGGTTAAGAGAAAAGCTGGGAGTTGACCTATTTTTGTACTGGCCGAGATCACAGGATATGCTTGGTGTATAAGAAATTTAAGCTGATTGATCATATATTTTCTACTTTTCTGAAAGAAAACAGACAATATTTGAGCTTAAACTATTGACTTTCAAGAAAATATTTTGTGTCCTTTTGATGTGTGGAAAAATAGCAGCATGTGATTTATTTCAGCATCAATCAGAAGGCTTCACTCCAAGTCCCGAGACAGTCTGGAGCTGATCTTAGTGTATAAAAGAAAAGGATAATTGAATCAGGAGATCATCAGTTGCAAGGAGAGGTCAGGTTGCTCCGTTCAGAAGTCCAGGTCACTCCGGTTAGAAACAATGACATAGAAGAAATTTGATACCACCAACCAAGGATTGAAAAGAAAATCAAGGTCACTCCCTCATCTAAGGAAAATTCATGACTGATGTAAAATCGTTTCTTCACTGGTACCAAGAAAAGTCACCACAGACATTGTACCTTCAACTTGAAAAATATTCTGAGAAGTACTACCTTTCCCTTTTCTATATTTGTTTTAATGTTGTTTGACTTTCTGGGGACCTTAAGCAGCATAATTTGTATTTTTATTGTAAAACAGCATACTTTGTAGTATATCCTTTATTGTAAAAAAAAAAAAAAAAGGTATAATTTTATATCCTTTATTATATAAAAGGCATATTTTTTCACTATATACTTTTATTTGCATTATATATTTTCTATTTGTATGTATATGTTATTGGCCATTATTCACACACAAAGCACTTAATTTGTGTAATTCCTTTCATTTTGTGTGTTTAATAAATTTAACATATTTCTATTTTTTAAACTTGTATCATCTGTCTTTATCATGTGCTTTGGTCTTACATCAACATTACTACAAACATTTGTTTGTACTACAATACCCTTTTTTCGTAGGGTTTTTTACCTCATAAAAAATCCTATAGGTATACATAAATGACAGCATTGGCTTGGCAAGATGTTGAGGTTAGTAGGCCTGTTCTATGGAATGGCCTCACATGGACTGGCATCATGGTAGTGGGTCAAGTGGGTTGTATCCTTGTGGAGTTGGAGTTGCTGCTTGCAGTGATAGCTTGAATGCAAAATCAATATATCTGTTTTGGTGAATGAGGTTGCGGTGATGGCTGCAAGAGAATGCCTTGTACATGTTGGTTATGCTGAAGTAACAGCAATCGGTTGCTGAGGTGTTTGCGAGTATTAGTAGTCAGTAGAAGTCATGAATCTAACTTTACCAATGCATAGGAGGCAAGGGCTAAATGACCTTGCTGATGCAGAGGGTATGTTTATTATGCTGATGCAGAGGATGTGTTATATCTCGTGCAAGATATAATAAACAAAGTAACCCGAGTGTTGGTTTTCAATAATAGGTTTATAATCGGATGTAGGTGTGTCAAGTACAGAGACAGAGTCGGGAGTATGCTAACCTCAATAGGTGTTAACAAACGAAGACTTTACGACTGTCCGCTGTGGTCGTACTTAATCGGCAACCAGTCCGTCCATTATCGTGAATGGGGAAGTTGGGTTATATCATCACAACAGGATGCGAGTGTTATGAGTCGGGAGATGAGGTGCTGTCATGCTGAAACCAGACAGTTGAGGTGGCCAGTCAAGCTTGAAAATGGCAAGTCATTGAGAGGAGTGGTCATATTGAGAGGCTGTGGTGATGGTAGCAGCAGCAGCAGTGCCCTGCATGCCAGCCAGTGGCCTTCAACTGTCCTGGTTGTTCTCTAGTAGTCCTCAGGGGCATTTCTTTCTCGAACGTTTGTGATTGGCCAGTATTGCTTTCATTATGAGAGCTTGCTTCATGGACCACATGTAATGTGTGGAGCCTATGTGCTGAAAATGACTTTTTTATTTTGTTTTCTACCTTCATAGAATTCACATCTGGAAAGCATGCAGAATGAATTAGAAAGAGATCTAATTCCAACAGAGTATAACATCTCCAACACTTTCCCCAATGTAAATTGGAGATACTTATTGCTTGGTATTAATAAATATTTTCTCATTAACTTTTGTTTTCTTTTCTATATTTCTGTTTGGCAAAGGAAAAAACAGCTAACAATATTTTTTCAAGCAGGATTTAGTATTTACACTATTTACATTGTTTGGACTGTTGTCCTCAAATTTGTTGTCATATTCACATTTTGGCTATTCTTCAGATGATTGGAATTTCAAACCAAACTCTTTATTTAATCCACTGAGGTAGATTGTTCTAGTTCCATATGCCATGCTTCTTCTGGATATCCCAGTTTTTAGTTATTTCTCTTTAGTAACTCAACTCTCCAAGTTTTTGTTTATCTCTGCTGTGACCAGGTATTGAACTCACAACTCTTTGGGTCAAATCACTGGATTACTTTAACCAACACTTTTATCCACTGACCCATGTGTCCAATCATCTGAAGAAAACCAGAGCATACAACAACCAAAATGTTGTGAATATGACAACAAAGAAGAGGTCAACAGTTTAAACAATGTAAATAGTGTAAAGAGTTACAATACCTAATCTCAGAAATATAGACAGATATTCAAGATTTAGTATGTTGGGGATTAATGTTACTTACCTTGATTTTCTCAATAACAGATCGAGTAATACCAGCTTTAGCACCAACAGCAGTAGCACTACCTAAAAGTAATAGATGTAAGTTATTACACTGAAGTTTTTTTTAAAGACATTTTTATGTTTATACATTCTTTTTATAGATACAAATATTTAAATAAATGCTTTGTTTATAAAAAACTGTATTAAACAACATTTACCGGCCTGAATGTCCGAGAAATTTTCACAGAAAATATTCATCCTCCAGTAAATGTTGTTTAATACTGTTTATTATAAAGAGAGCATTTACTTAAATATTTGTATCTATAAAAAGAATGTATAAACATAAAAATGTCTTCAAATAATTGTCGGACTTTGTCCATTTCATAATTAAAGCTTTTCTCATAGGAACAAAATAACACTTCTTTTTAAATTGACTTTTCATTTTAAAATATTATAATTAAATAAAATATGAAGAGTGCTGAAAAGTTCTTGGCTTGATCAAGAACAAACTCTCCCCAATTCTGATATTTGGTCATTTGTTCAAATTTTGGGAAGTAGGTTAGACTGACAACTTTTCAGCACCTCCAGTATATCAGAAATCACAAGTCTCATAACCCACAAGGTTGTAGGGGCACTATATGTACTGCAGCCATAGCAATAGTTGTGTGTCTATGGCAAGATAGCCTGACGGAGCCCATACCTCCTTGGATTGATTTTGAATTGTGTTTTTCTTCTCCTAGTTTGGGTTGTCTTGTCTTTTAGTGAAAACCAATTTACCCTGCTATATGAGCTGGCAGAAGATGGATTTTCCTATCATATTAACACAAAATGAATAAAAGAGAATTGACCAGAAATTGAAATCTGCAAACTGATTTCATTTTCCATACTGATAATATTACACAATTCTCACCTCCTATATCAGAAATCACATCACTGTAAATTATACATAAATTGTATAGATTGTAAATAAATAAATTATAGGTCAATATAACATTTTCAAACAGGAAGCTATTTTCTAAGCACAGTAAAGTTAGGTGAAATTAGTAGCTCATCATAATACAGAGCTTCAAGTAATATTATTTGTATGAATGCAAAACTTGTATTCCTTTTTGTTATCCAGAAATAAATGATTTTAAACCTGATAACAATTAGAAGCTAATTTTTCAATACATATGATATATGTTACTTAGGTTAACAGGTTGAAAATGAAGGTTTTTAACTTGTCTGACATATTCTTCAATTTTACTTGTCATCATGTCTTCAAGTACTATTTGATCTCTATGCACTTGCATAATCAAGCAGCTGCAGAAAATTTCAATGAGTTCACTGACCAGAAAATTTCTGACTTTTGGAGCAATGGTAGAAAAAGCATTGATAAATATTAACATAAATATACAGAAGGTAGTGTGTACTTTACAGTTGCAGTTTTCAATTTTCTTTAACTTCTATGTGCTGTGTCCTTTCAAGATGTTGGCAATCACGGCTCTCCACAATTTCTTGTCCTTTGTGGCTCTTAATAAATTTTGTTTTTTTGTTATCTCACTAAACCCTGTTTTGTCATCCATTTACACAAACTTCCTAAATAGGTTATGCATTGTTTACCTCTGTCCCTCTTGCCTTCAATCTATTCTATGAGTATCAAATTTTCTTAGCCCTTTTTTCTCTTTCTGATTCTAATGTGTACTTTTTGTTGTCATTGTCTCTAAAACTTCATTGTTACTCACATGTTCGGTTCATGGTATTTTCAACATCCCCCTGTAGAACCACATTTCTGTTGCTTCAAGTCTCTTCACTTCATTTTTGAGATTGTCAAGCATTCACTGTCATATAGGAGGACTGACATTATGTAACAGTTCAGTACTCTTTTCTTTGTTTCCAATGAAATTTTCCTGTTCCTTAATACTTTACTTAGCTTTTGGATGGCTTCTTTCATTATTGCAATGCATCTTCGGATCTAAGTGTTGCACATTTGTCCTCTGTGAAAACACTTCTCAGACAGTTCTTGTTTGATTTTGGTATCTCCAGTTTGTAATTTGTATTTTGGGCTCATCCTTTTGCTAATAAACCATGAATTCCAACTTCTTGCAAGTGATGCTTAGTACTTTCTTCTTGCTTTCCTTCACTACCTTCTATAGAAGTTTTTGTCATTTCCTTTCTATGCTATTAACACCGTATCCTCTGTATATCTTATGTTGTTAAGATTGTGGCCAGCAATAATGAAATCTTGATGGGACTTCTAATTCTCTCAAAATCACCTCACTGTATAGATTGAATAAGTCCAGTGAGAAGACACATCATTTTTATTTTTGTATATTTACTGAATTCATTTTCTATTATCATGGAGGTAATTTTCTGCCAGAATAGTTTCTGGATTATTCTAATATCCTTCCAAAATATGTCAAAGCTACTGAGCAGTTCCAACAGTTCTATGTGATATACTTTTGCATAATCTATAAAACATAGGTATGCATCCTTTTGCATTTATATTGCTCTTTCTGATATCATTCTGAGCATAAATATCACATTCCTTGTTCCAGTGTCTTTAACAGACCTGCATTGTTCTTGTTTTCAGTTCTGAAATGACATTTATGAAATTGTTTAATCTGATATTGATGATTTTAAGTTATACATTTTTACCATTTTTCAATAAATAATAATATATTTGAATAATATCTTGGATTTTCATTTAATAGTAATAATAATAATACAAATTCAAGATAATGTTGTTACAAATGTTGTTAATATTTGTGGATGTAAATATTAAATATAGCATAAAATTGGCACTTGAGGAAAACAAAGTATAAAAACTATGATTATATTTGAGTTTCTATAGCTGGTTGCATTTTAAATATAATCAGTAAGACAGCTGTTGCACTCAGATCAGCTTCCTAAAGAAAAAGGGATGAGAATTAAATTTAAATTATATATACTTTATATAGTGTATCTATGTACTTTCATTTGGAGAAGTCATCTACTTGCTAGGTGTGCTACTAGAAAAGTTGGTCCACTGTGTCAGGCTGGACAATTTTGGGGGACAGAATTTTTCTTACATATTCGTCCATGCTTTAAATATTTTTGTAACAGCTGGTCTGGTGTTTCTGCTATGTATTTAGAGATTCTAGATAAAGTACAAAGAAGAATCTGCAATGTTATTGGTCCTGACCTGACATCTCAGCTTCAGTCCCTTTCCCACTGCTGTAATGTAGCATCCTTATGCTTGTTCTATAAATATTTTCATGGCAATTGTTCTTATGAACTTTACTCTTTGGTCCCTAGATTTTATGAATTTAAGTGCAGTACTAAATTGGCAGCAAGGTCTCATAATTTTATGGTTAAAATGACTAGATGTAACCGTAAGTTCTATGCCTAACAGTTTCTTCTTTCCAACTTCTCGCTTGTAGAACTCTCTTCTGGCTTCTTGCTTTCCAATTTAGATCTTCAAAAATTTAAATGCAATGTCAATCATTATCTTGTCTTCTTAATTTCTGTTCTTTTATTAATCTCTCTTTTTAATATATTTTTTTCACATTGTTATGTTTTGCATATCTCACTGTGTAGTAGTAGTAGTCATAGTATAGTTCTCTGTGTCCTGAATAGCAACCGGGTTTGCTAGGCATAGCTACCCTATGTTCACCAGTTGTTATTTATACCTATCTAATTTGCATATGATACTACACACATTCTATCACACTCAGTAACCCCCTTGTGTCTTAGTAGTTTTAATAACTTGCTTGGGATGAAATGATTAAAAAAAAAAGTTTATTGTAAGTTTTTTATAACTTTCATCTTGCCTGAAGAAGTGATATAAATTCTATTAATAATCACAGTTGAGTGACTTGATAGGGTGCAATAAAATTTCCATTTACAACTGAGTGAACTTTAGAAATGTAATTTGAGTAACACTATATCAGATTTTATTATGCAAGTCAATGTTTTCACAATAAAACTGGTATTAACTGATAGTGGTAAAATTTTCAGGGTTTATTGAGTTCCATCTTTTAAGATGTATCATTTTTAAAAATATTAATAACTTGTAGGATATCAGGTTTTATTAAACAACATAAATTTGTATTTACAAATAAATCACTAACATATTTGATTAACCCAATACTTCTTACATTAGAATAAATTATTATTTTAAATGTTAATATGATCCCTTTGACATTCTATAACCCTCATTAGTCTTTTACTCATTGATTTTTATTAACTTTCAACTTTAGCATTAGTTTTTATTGTTTTTCAGAGATCTTTGCTTGAATACTATTTTCCATTCTTGTATAAATATCTTTTAATATCTAGAGAGGCTGTGAGAGACATTCTACTAATTTGGTATCTTTGGAATTCTTTTTTACAAGGTAGGTAATAGCCAACTTTGCAAAGTGTGAAGGAATAGTGATTCATGTGAATATTGTCTTTAACTTAAAGCTTTTTGGTTGTGGACTGCACAAAAATAAAGAAAAGAATAAAAACAACAACTTGTCCAAGAACTTAAAATAATCCACTGCATTTAGCTTGATACCATCATCAACTCTGAACTGACCAATAGTTTTCCTAGCCCAAATCATTATTCCACATCCTCACTGCTGTGTTTTAAGCTATGTTAGTTGGCAATTTCCAACAAATACCCAACCTATATATTAGCCATTGGATGAACCTTCAACCAATATAGCACTACATTCATTGCTAAAAAATACTTTTGAGAAATGAGTTTTCATCTTATATATATATATATATATATATATATATATATATATATATATATATATATATATATATATGAATAATTCCCAAGCTGCATAATAAAATCTTACAGTAATATAAATGTTATTGTGAATATTTCTAATCAAACCAAAAGGCTGAAGTTTATATGATATATTTATCATATAAGTATATTCTAAAACTTTTAGATACCAGTTGGTTAATGGTAAAAACATTAGCTTCCAGAATAAAATCTGACAATGAAGAGACAAAATTTCAATAACTTAATTTTCCAATTTATTTTATTAAAAAAAATTAGCAATTTCATTTAGTTTTGATTGGTTGATTTTTTTTTATGGTTTATCAACCTTTTGTGGGTTATTTAAAGCCAAAGCATATTTTGGATTGTGAGAATAATTATTTTTGAGTGAATATTGCATTAACACATTTTTGAAAATAACAATGATTTTTTCAAGCCCTACTATTTAACCCATATCAAGGGGAGGAGATGGATTCATACCTTTCAAAGTGCATTTGCATTAAGTGACAACCACAACTGAAATTTGAACCTGGCTCTTATTTCTCATTCCAAGACTCTATTACACCATCTGCACATCCACCCCCAAGAACAATATAGTTCTGGATAAGCACACAAAAAGAATCCCAGTAATTCTTAATTTATTAATTGATGCTACATAACCCGAATGGGGTTTGGAGTAAAATTTTATTGCTACAAAAACTAGTATCTCTTATTACTATAAACATTATATTTAGTGGATACACATCTGTTTTTTTTCAGTTTGTTTTAAAAGATCTCCTGGCTTAGAGATCAAGAAAATATGCATATTGACAGAAATCAAATCTGTATTCACTTTAACCTTGGAAACCACCTTCAAGACAGGCAAGTTTTACAACTAAGCTACAAGAAGCCATTTCAACAAAGCAAGGCTCAATTACCCTATTTAAACAAGCTTGAAAGTGGTTTCCCAGGTTAAAGTGAATACATGATCAATTCCTGTCAAGAAGCACTTTTCCTTTAACAAAACTTGTTGATCTTTTAACCAGTAGATATTAACTACATTGTGGGGGGAAACAAAACATGGATATCTACTCCAAAACATATACCCACTTAATATAACATTTTTAGTAATAAGAAATAACATCAGATTAATTACTTAAAGAATAGTAAATGCATAACCCAAAATAAAACAATAGGATAGAGCCTGGATAGGAGTTTTAATTGTAACCTTACAGCCAGAGTAAATATTTGCATAAACAAGGACATATATTTACATTAATATTATCTACTAAACTACTTTCTGTTAAACAGAAAGAAATCATCTCATAAATTTACACTAAAATAACACTGAATTGATTTATAGTTGTCTCATGGTTCAAAACTTGAAGCTGCCATACACATTTAACTGTTGAACTACATCTGTAAAAATGCTCCCAACTCCTCTCTTCAAATACAGAATCTAGTAATAGCATCCTAGAGAGCTTCTTGGCTAGAAGCCTGTGTGTCTCAATGGTACTTCACAATACCATGAAATTTTGCTTGTTGGTAAATTTAGTCAATTTCTCATTTATTTTATTTGACTTTTATTCAAGACAGTATTGGAGAGTAAGACGATATACAAAAATGTACATTAAAATACAATTTTTATAACAAACTAAACTAAAAAGAAAAAATATCTCAAATATTTATTGGAATTTGGTGCTTAAAGCAGTGAAATATTTATTAATAATAAAGGGGAATGAAGAAAAAGCCATTTGAGAGATTGATTGGTTGATTGATTGATTGTGTCTTTATGTCTTATCAATGCCTTTGTGGGTTAAAGCCAAAACATATTTTGGACCATTTAAGATAGGTGGTAAGCAATTTTCATGTTAGTGTGACAGGCACTTCAACAGTGTATTTGATTTGCATGATTTTTTTTTTTACAGCGTATCAACCTTTTTGCAGGTTATTTAAAGTCAGAAAATCTTTCTAAATTGTAAGAATTTGGGGGAGATAATGATTTACTGATACAAGTCCTACTAATTAACCCATTGCTGGTGGAAGAAGAGGTGGATTCATACCTTTCCCAAGGCTATTTGCATGTAAGTGAATATAACAAATTCAAATCCAAGCCATTATCCATTACACCACCTGCACAGCACCTGGTATTCCCAAGCAGTCACCCATCTAGGTACTGACTAGGCTTGACATTGCTTAACTTTGGGGATTGTATGAGAACCAGTATTTCAAGGTGATATGGCTGTAAGTCCTTCAACAATGAAGCATAAGATGAAACGGGTAAATTTAAGGGAGGAATTCACAAATTGTTCATTACAACATTTTCATCAAGCTATAATTAGCAAATAATTATTTTTATTTTTTTAAAGAACCTGGTGATGTAAAGCTATGAATGAAATCTTTTATTTACCACAAAATTCAGTGACGTGCTATCAAGTGTACAAGTTCCAATTGTATTTTTTTGGAAAATTTTTAGGTCAAGGGAGAACAAAAGACACCCACTGTGTTGCCCTAAGAACCTGTTGATAATTGTGATTGGACAGTTCAAAGGTGAACCACCCTCCCCCCTTTGAAAGGGGAAGGGAGAACTGGGACTGGACCTTAGCAGCAGTTACAAACAAGACCGCTTAGAAACAGGAGATTTGCTTCTTTCTCCCTGCTGAAAAGGCAGGCAGCGTTTGCCCATAAGTAAGGATGCATGGTTGCTGAGGGAAAAGTTTCCCTTTCAGAGAAAATTTTGAGAAGTCCTCTTGAAGAAGCCCCAGAAAAGAAAGCTTGAAAAGAAGTTTGGAGCTAAAGCCATTTGAGAAAAAGGAGTAAACATGTGCGTATTCAAAAAGTGTTTTAGTGCATGTTTAAGTAAATTTTCACCTTCTAGCGGCTGTAAAAGAAAGATGTAATTTCCAGGCAGACGGGAGGAAAATAAGTGAAGAAAGAAGGGAGTTTGGTCACCAAGAAGAGAACTTTGTCTATACAAGAGAGAAAAGAAAAAAGATAAAAAACTTTTGAACCTTCAAAGAACTGAAAGTGTATTATTATCATTGACATAGCAGGTGGGCGCTATTCTTTTTTTTGGTTTTTGGTGAATTGTAATTTTTAAGTTTGTTTTTTGCTATGTTTTTTTTTTACATTGTGTTACTCAGAGAATAGGTTATCTTATTCTCAGCAAAAAGGGACAAATTTTTCCAAGAACCGTTATTTAGCTGGTTAGATAATAAATATTTTTTCTTTGTAATTGAATCTGATTTGCATTTTTTTCTTTCTTTTTCGTTACTAATTTGGGCAATAGTGAAAATACTGCTGCAGAAGGTTTTATTTTCTAAAAGAAAATAAAATTTCCGAAATTTTAAACTAAAAACATTTTTACATGAAATTCAACCTCTTTCCTTTCTTTTGAGTCTCACCTTTTTGTACATGAGTTCTTCTGACTGCATTTATAAAGGATGATTTGCCAATATTTGGGATACCAATCACCATTACATTGTACACTGAAAGCTGCAAAAAAAAAAAAAAAAAATTAAAAAAGCATTTAAATTTTTATATATACACACATAACAAAGTGGATCACAACCTATTCATGAAGAGCAAGTAGGGCCCAAGGAGGTTTGATCATAGGCAACAAACAGATTTAAATATAGAAAGGTTCAGTTTTATAGTACAGAATTGGGGGAAAACATGAGAAAAGGCTTGATTAGTATCGGAATGTTGAAAAAAAGAGTTAAGGAAGTTAGTTTCAATAAATTAGATGAGGTAAGGTGTCCTTAGGGAACTGAACATAGTAACTTAGTGTAACTGGGTATGGTCTTGTACACATTTCTAACAATCACCAAGTTGGGCAAAAATGACAAAAATTAGCTTGGTGTGTTTTCCAGAGAAAAGGATTTCAAAACAAATTTGGCTAAACTGACCAAGAGGCATTGTTGTTTGTTTGCATATTTGCCAGTGTTTTTTTTTATAAGAATAGTTTTTAGGAATCAGATTTATGAGAAGTTACTTAAGTGGCAAGGTGGCCATGCCTGAAATAAAGGTTACCTTTAAAGAGTATAAATTAATAGTCAGTTCATACAAATACATTATTAGTGACAAGCTGGCAGGCTGAGTTCACATGTATTTATAATACATATTACATGTGTGCAGCACATTTTTGTGAGTTCCATAAAGTTTGGGAGAGAAGAGATATGTGAACTACAATAGAAGGTAGCAGACAGTAGCAGCCTTGAATGAGCATACCACCAGATAACCATCCCAACATTTGAAAAGAGGATGAATTATTCTGTCACAGTCATAGTTGCAAAGGACTATTATGACTATTATGTATTGCTGTCAAGCATTCAAAGTGAGGAAAGAAAGTCACTATTTGATGAGCTCCTTTCTTTAGTTCTCCCAGTTCAGACCTTTACAGCTAGGACTTGTCATGCTATTTCCACAGCGTTGAATCACCCACATTTCCTCTATTTTCCAGTTGTATGGAATAAGTTCCACTTAGCTTTTTTTACCCACAAGAATTTCTACTTTGCAGGATAGACATCCATGTGATTGCTTCCCTGAATACTACACTCTTAACCTCTTCAAGTCAAGTATCAATCCTTATCTATCCTCCTTATCCTCATAATCTCTTCCTACTACCTTCTTTTACATTCATATCACACACCTTATTCACTAACCAACTACTTTGAGTGCATCTTGAATCTTGTATTGGGTAAACTTTAATAAAAAAAAAGTTTGAAACATTGATGTTACCAACGGATAAAATAAATTGTTTTGTTAAAATCTTGGGAAGATATTTTAGTCTTCTTCATCCATATTCCAAGATTTCAATCAATTTTGGGAATCAAGTTTAAATTGATATGACATATGGTTTGGTTTTGTGATGTGTCGACCTTAAGGGATCTCTTCTTCTTAACAACACAACACGAGTTGAGGAATTTTCCTGTTCAGGATGCTGCTGAAGCAGTGACTAGGATAACTGGCTGATACTTTTGACCATAGTGCTACATCCGGTGCTGTAACAAAAGATTCTTGATCCTAAGGTTACCATGGAAAGACATACAGCATGTATTGCAACATTTAGTAAACAGAATAATAAGCTTGTCTCAAAGCTAGTGTCATACACACATACACAATTTATCATACATTTATTAGTAACTGCAGTCCTAATCCCATTATTATTAATAGAAATTAATTGTATAGCATTCAGTTAAGTACAAATAAAATGAAACTATCAACAGTACTTTTAACTTTTCTTCATTCACTGTTTATTAGAAACTATCTTACATGTTGGCTATTGTGGCATGGAGGAGCTTCCTTACTTTGCTCAATTCAGCAGTAGCAGCAATAGAAGTAATCAGCAGGGTACAACTGAAAGTCCCAGAACCCATGAAAATGCTGACAGATCCCTATTTGGCCTCTGTTCCACTTTTCTTTTCAGCAACCACAACCTTCAAGACCCAGCTTTTTTAGTGAAAATATTTTCTTACTTTTATTGATTTTTCTCAGTCTTTCTTTTTCTTATTCTTATCTTGTTAATGTTTTCAGTTTTTATATTTTGATTGTTCCCTGTTGAACCTTTTCACCACATCCAATATTGTGTTCCCATCACTCAATCACTGTACAATATCTTGTTTCTCTAAGGTGATAGCTTTCTTACAGCCCATCATTGCAATCTTTATATATCTGAAGTTAAAAAATATGCTATTATACATATTTATTTATTCACAACAACCCTTGAGTTGCGTGATAAAATCTCACACCAATGAATAACTTATTGTAGATATTTCTTTTATTAAAAAGCAGATATTATTAGCTAAAAGTCACTTGTTATACTTACCATACAAATAAAAGTATATTCTAAGTATTTTACCAAAATTGGTTGTTTATTGTTTAGTAAAAGTGCCATACTAATTCAATTGTTATCTACATTCTCTTTTCAATAGCAAACCATTTTATCATACAGTCTTTCGATTGATCAAAGTGCAATTATTGGGTTTTGCACTTATATTGTTGCAGTGATATGAAAAAAAAAATATAAATTTAATACATACACACATTTGCAGGTGTAGATATCATAGAATATGAAAAAGTTCTGATGTAAGAGCAATAAAATTCATTTAATTTACAAGTCAAAAGCAGTTATTAACTTTTTTTTTAGTTTTCTTCCAGGTAATTTATAAAGGAGGCTTTGGAAATTAATCATATAAAGGTATATGACTAAAAAATTAATCTTTCTACTAAAATCAAGCATCAATAATTCAAACTCACTGAGTATATCATCACCATTATGGTGTGAGAGATTCTCCAAGTTTTGAGAATAAAAGTTCAGTCAGTGACCTTCCCCAATGTGGCATACAATGTTCAGTTAGGAACAAAGCAGTATTTGAGCAAGTAAGGGAGAGTATTAAAAAAGATTCGATCAACTAGAAGGCAGTAGACAGGCTTGGATCTCTCAGACATCACACAAACAAATTTTTAAATTCATCAACCAGTTTTCATATAAGATGGGGCAACAGCTTGTATAACAAGGGCCACAATCCAGCTTTTCAGGAAAATTCTTGTGAAAAGGATAATTTATCATGGTTGTGGCATAAATTGGTCACCACGTTTCCAGATCTGACAAGCACCAAGTTCTTCCTGTATGGCTGAAACACTGAGGGCTGTGATGAAAAATGCCTCAGAAAGAGCACGTTTGTGGGAAGCTGGAAATGGATGCCACTTAAAAGATGTAATCTTTCTCAATATGTAAATTTATTTCCCATACCTACTCTATATAATACTATGGATTTGTGAATTAAAGTTAAAAAATAAAGTAGTTATTAAATTTTTAAATCCTTTGGTGACTTTTGAGACACCCTGTAGTATCAGTTAACAGTCAAGGCCATCAATTTTTAATATAACAATAACAGATGAATTTATACAACTATTGTTTGATAATAGACATTACACATCTCATTTCCTTATTCTATTAGCAATGTTTACATTAATTCTCATTTACTAAAAATCTCTATTATTCTCTTATTTTCAATAAATAAATACAGATTGAATGCCAAATCTCTGCCCTCCCCAAATATTTAGTTTGTTCATGCAGAAAATGTCTCATACTACGTAGGAGAATGGTAGAGTACTATCAAAATTAGAAATGAGTCATGATAAGAAAACATGAAACTTTGCATGTGTATATTTTTTTTTTCTTGTCAAGCTAGCTCAGACATTCAGGAGTCTATCATGTCAATCATCACAGTCCTGCATCAAGGTCAGAAGGTCATTAGGGTGGCACTTTGTGTCATAACATAGCTGGTCAATGTAGGAGGTTGCTGGGCAACCAACCAGTCTTTCTCTATGACTAGGTGTTCAGAGCAGAAGATCATTTGTAAATTCTTGTTTTGCTTGCCAGCAGTGTCCTGCAAAGTGCATTCTGCATTTGCATAAGATTTTAGAAATATCAGGGATGAGTCCATAGGGCTGTGATTTAGTTGGATGTTGTCTCCAAGAGATGTTAAGTATAGACACAAGCATCTGAGTGTAGGTTCCATCAACCTTAGACTCTAGGGTTTTAGCAGTGGCACCATACATTAAAACTGTCTCTACAGTGGCTCGAAAGAATCTCTGAGGTAGTTTGGTAGGTCAGATTTCCAGATTATATCCATTTTATTTAAGGCGACCTCAGCTTTATCAATACAAATTTTCACATCCTTTTCAGTAGAATTCATTTTGCTTTCTATATATGTAAAGGATTCAACAGATTTTATTGATTCATTTGAGATAGTTTATACTGAGCCTTGCTTGTGAAGCTTATGAATTCAGTTTTAGAGGCAGTGACAGAGTCCAACATTGTCAGTAGCATTTTCTAGATGTAGGAGTACTGTGGTATTGGTAATGGTGTCTGCAGTGATAGCTAGGTTATTTGCATAGTCGATTTTTGGTCAAATTTTTTGCAGGGTATTGACTTGAGAGCCTTGGTGATAGAGTAAAAACTAGATGAAGTGGTGACACATTTCTGCATTTGTATACTGAGTTCAAATACATGGAAATAAAACCATGATTGCTTTATTATTTAACATTTTTTTAAAAAGTTTTTTATACTACTGCCAAAATTTATTATGGCACTGTACATGTAATTATTAGATTGAATGAAAATTTTCCTTAATAAACCCTATTCATGATATCATGGGTTATACAATTAGGTGTTACAAAAATATTCATGACTGATTGATTCATTCATTTTCTATGGGTTATCAACCCTTTGCAAGATATTTAAAGCCAGAAAATATTTTTACATTGTAAGAATTTGTTTTTGAAGAGATAATAATGGTTTAGTGATACAAGTCTTACTAATCAATCCATAGCTGTGGGAGGAAGAGGTGGATACTTTTCCCATGGGTATTTGCATGCATATGAATATAATAAATCCAACAGGAATTGGAACTCGACTCTCCAATTAACAATTCTGGGCCATTATCCATTACAACACCTATACATCCAAGCTTACAGTACATGGCATTCCCAAACAGTTACCTATCTAGGTTCTGACCAAACTCAACGTTGCTTAACTTTGGTGATCATATGGGAACCAATGTTTCAACGTGATGTGGCCATAAAAAAAGATTCATAGAATTTGACTCTTAAAATAATTGTAGACACGAATGTCTAGTTTTCACCCTCTCCTTTAACAGTAGCAGTGTTGATCTGTTCACACATGGACTCATACAGAGTAGCAGCAAAAATCTGTACTATAGTTGAATTGCACATGGAAATTCTCCAACCATTTACACTGTCAACTTTTATTATGCAAGTCAATGTTTTCACACTAAAATCAGTATTAGCCAAACAATGTTAGTAAAATTTTCGGAATATATTCATATAAAAGATATATCATGAGTTTCTGTTTATAATAGGGATGTCATCAAACTAAGTCCAGCATAAAATGTTTATTTATAATTAAATCCAAAAGATGTAAGTCAAAGAAACATTTTTCATATGCATATATAAAATACCTAAATAAATGATTATTTCACACATTAATATGAGTTTCTAAATATTTTATCACCTTCATTAGTCTTTCATCCATTAACTATAATAACTTTGATATTGTTTTATTATTTGCAGGTGTTTTTATTGCATCCCAAAGATTTTCTTTACTTTATTTCCATTCTCATATACCAATTTTCTAATGATAGACCATAAATTTTCTGTTGGATTAATATCTGGAGAGGCAGTGATTATTTTTAATATTCTCCATCTTTTCTCTGAAAAAAAAAAATAAAAATAAAAAAATAATTGAAGGTGCTGATATTGTCAATGTATCACAATATCAAATCTTTAGAGTTATTTTTTTGCTAGTCAATTTAATTTTTTTATTTATTACCTGTACAATTTTTCTCGGAGTTCTTTTTGTGACATTTGTAAAGTCAGTCTTTTTTCCTTGTCCTTATCTGGTCAATGTTTTTGGTTTTTAGATTTTAATTCAATTTCTGCTGAACATTTTTTTGCAATTTCCAATATTTGTGTTCCCATGACTCAGTAACTTTACAATATATTGTTTCTCTTTTGAGGTTATATGTTTTTTATGACCCATGACAATTGTTATATATCTGAAGTTAAAAAATACAAAAAATCAGTAACCATATAATATGATGAACAATCCTAGAATTGAATAATTAAATCATAAATTGGTAAATAAATTTTTGTAAATATTTCTAATAAAAACAGATATTATAAGGTAAAAATTCATTTGTTATACTTATCATATAAAGAACAGTACTTTCTGAAAATTTTAGCAACATTGGTTGGTTAATACCAATTTTATTGTTAAAAACAGTGATCTGCATAATAAAATCTAACATTGTGCAGGTAGTCTTCCATATAATATAAATAACAAAAATAAATTTACTGTACACCAAGTAATTTTTGTCTGCAACATTCTGTTCTACTATAGTTATCTTCCTTACATTAGTGATAATGTCTTTGTCATGACAACAGTGAATAGTTCTAAAATGTTTACTAAGGTACTAAGGTAGGAGGTCAAAAATGAAAGAAAGAACTGAAAGAACAGTTTACAGCAATAATGATGGAAACATTTACATTTAAAATGCCAACATTTTGAATATGATAATAACATAATATTTTTGTAAAAATCCAACATTTTACTCTATAAACTTCATGTATATGTCAGCTAAAATGCACTTATTAATTGCACAAATTAAATGAATATTTTTGTTATTGAGGTCTGCAGAAGAATGATTTATGAAATTTATGATTTGAAAAATTTAAGACTGATCTCAGGGAATATGAATTAAAAGACCTGGTGATGTAATGAATATGCATACACCTGGGTGCCCCCTCACAGTAATATGATTGGCTGGTGTCAGCCATAAATACAGACTGATGTGGTGGTATAGAAGGACGCCTATTGGTTACGTCTATTGCCTACCACTATGACGAGGACCAGTCCATTATGGTTACCTGCTAGATTTTCCTACCCAGTTACAGTGGTCAACAACCACTTTACTACTTTGAACAAATATATCCCTTTCCGGGACATATCACCTGGTAATGGACCAAATGTTTACTTGTATGTCTAAATTTAGGCTAGTTTTAAGTGAGCCATTATATATCATACAACATTATTTTATTTTTGTGTCCTTGATGAGAAAGCTTACATATAGATTATGCTAATTTCATTATAAACCTGTGTTGAAAGGTAAAATTACCTCTGTTTTCTTATATCTTGGATGGGTGTCAATTAGTTTCATGATTGTTGGAATTAAAAAAAAAAAAAAAAAAAAAAAAGCATTAGATAATAAAAGTCAATAACTATTTTGCATGAGTGAAACATATACACATCAACAAACATGTCTCTTTTTTATATATACACATTGCTCAACACTCTTCTAATTATTTTGAACAATCTTCACTGGGTGTCCCATACTTTTGGCATTTCTAAGCTACGCTTGGAAAATCACTATTTGAACAATCTAACCAATCATATTTATTTTACTTGTCACTGTGTAGTGCACAAGGAAATTGGATAGCAGTTCCTAGGTGGACCAATACATACAAAAAAATAAAACCCCAAACAATACTATCAAATGAAGAAAAGTAAATAGCGTATAAAATATGTTGAAAATTGTCAGTATGGGGCAGCGTTTATTTTACATAGGGTCCAAGGATAAAAGTTGTCCCTTGAGCACTTTGTCTTAGAACTAAAAAACAGTTCAAACAGCATCAATGTACTAACTCAAAACCAGGCTGAATTTGATTATAATTGTTCAAAGATTTTCAAATTGGATGGCACACAGTTCTATTAGGTATATAAACAGTAATATAAACAGTTTTCTTCAAGGATTAAAATTGCAATGTCTATTCTACTTTTATCAGCAAGTCATATCCTATGTGTATTTATGGTGTTATTTACTACAAAAAGAATTTGATTTCAGATATTTTATCTCAACCTCTTAATAATCTTAAATTGAGTTTCAGAAAAGAAAATTTCACTAATGCAATTCATAATCTGAAAAATGATCACCTACTGACATTTTCTATCACTTTCTATCCACAGGCTGTTTTCTCCACTGTCAAATTGTGAGAATAAAACAAACATTTATTTATTCATTTAAAAATACTTATACTCAAAAACTATAACTAACTTTGAAATGAGTTTGATATTCACATTACAATTGTCTTTCTACCACTAATCTCAGTGTTTTACTAAATTTGAATGGGGAAGAAGAGCATCTTTTTAGTTCTTTCCAATAGGCACAATATTTATTTTCTTTTGAAACAAAGCAAAATCTTCAGAAAACTTGCTTTCAAATAAAAATATCATAACAGGTAGAAAACAATCACAAGGTTAATGCAAAATTGAGCAGTCACACAAGTGAAAACATAACTTATGGCCCTTAAATGTTTTCTTCATGAAATGTAAATTTTTAATATTTTTTTTTTTACTTGCTGATAAGTAAATATAGCAATCTGCTAGGAAATTTAAAAGAAGCTGTAAAGTGAAAGTATTAGAATAAAGTTTATATACAACAAATAAAAGATCATTTTGTTGATAACTTTGAACTGTACTTCAAACCTCAACCTTATGAGATTCAGAAGAAAAAAAAAAAAAAAAAAAAAAAAAAAATCTTAGATTTGATCAGATTTTGAAAATGGGTCAAACTGGGAACATTTCAGTATCCCTTGGTAAAAGAGTGAAGATGAGATCAAAAACTCTGCATCTATGTTCCCAGTTATTCTGCCGAAAAGTGTACAATTCTTCATGCAAATAGACAACTGAAACTGCTTACATTCCTTTTTATGCTTTTTGGAAACTGTTCTTTACAGTTTGTCCAGAGAACTTCTTGGATACCATCTTTATGTAATTCTTCAAGCACACTTTCCTTGTGACTCATATCACATAGATCTGCTTTGTTTAAGATGAGGAGATGGGGACGGGCTCGAAGTAACCCAGCAAATTTGGGATTATTGCCAGAAATGGGAATCTTTTCATAGAGTTAAGGAAAAAAAAATATCCAAAATTTACAGTATGAAGCAAAAATTGATTAGGTATTGCAAAAGAATAACACTAAATTTCAGAAATATTATTTTATTTAAGAGTCAAATACATTTATTTCTGGAACATTGTAACTAGCTTGCAAAACCAACACCCTTCACATGCAGAAGATTCTCAAATAAATGCATTGCTTAACAACTGCTTAAAAAAAATAAAAGTATGAAAATTAACAAATTCTATCAATATGCAGGTTTTGATTGAACTTTCACTTGCCTCTAAAAAAATTTAAATAGTTATACAAAGTTATTATTTATTGAGGATTATAATTTTGATGATTTAGTGTTAAAAGAATAAAAACTGAGGATAAAATAAAAATATATTTAAAAAAAAAAAAAAAAAAAAAATGAGCCCCCACCCCAGGGTGTGTGGCCATATGAGAGAGAGAGAGAGAATTGCGTGTTCTCATGAATAAAATTAATTTTTGACACTACATTCCGAAACAGCAGGTTTGTTTAAACAATATCACATTATGTTGGTAAACACTGATCCAGATTTTAGTATATATCCTTGTTTAAATTTATGCATAAGTTTATGCTGCACCTAAAAAAGTTTAAAAAATTAGAAAGATCATTTAACTGTTTAAGCTTCCAAAAATATTAATTCACTCACTATAATAAAATAAAAATTAAATGAACTATTTTATGGGCATCTTACTACCTGAATATAAATTAATTTTTTTACCATTTATTATTCAACAAAGTAATAAAAAGCACTTTTTGTTCTTTTTTTAATTCACAATTTTTGATTGTTTTTTTAAATTATTCTATTAATTATGTAAGTGATAAATGACTGATCATGATTTCATTTTAAAATTTAGATTTTAAAAATTATAGCATCTAAAATTATTTATTAAACTGCAGAAAATTTACTTTATAAAAACTGCATTAAATATAACTATTTTAGTATTGGAAAAAAAATCAGCAATTCATTCCTTTTCTAAATGTCAAAAGGTTGTTTATGGGAATTATCAGTGTCCGCCATTACTATACCAACTTTTTATGCCTAATGCTTATATATGATATCAATATTATATTTTTAGATGAAGCATTTTCATTACTTTTGTTGTTAGCTCTTCATCTTTACATTTTACTTAATAACTGATACTTTTGTGGCTAAAGTGGTTAAAGTTCACAAAATAGTCCTCCAAGGTGTGGGACGTGAGTTCAAGTGTTGTCAAAAGCTACTTGATTTCAGTTTTAGTGCCATTTGCACTTATGGTCAAAGAGTTTATTTAGCTTCGATTCTTGTGGTAAAAAACTGACCAGATGAAAAGCTGGTTTTAAAATATATATATTATTGTGTTATTTTATGTGATGGCATTTTTATTATTTAAAAAAAAAAAAAAAACACAAACAGTCAAAGATCAGAACACACACACATTCACACAACCAACTCTTACAAATACCACCTAGCACAACAAACCAAACCAGGCAACCATTACCTATATCCAGGAGTACAACCAGAATTTCACAAAAAGTTCTACACACAATCCACATACAATCAATACAAAAACAACAAACCTAGGAACATCTGGAACAGGCCCCCTAACAAAAGCCAACACACCTATATAGAGCCATCGAGAAACAACAACCCCAATTTTACCAAGGGAAACTCTCACTGGCTAGAAAACTCAAAATGTACAGGAAGAAGGTATCTCTTAGAAACGCCAAGATATATTAAAAGAAACAATCATTATTTTTTAGAAGCCCCAGTCCGAACAAGAAAACCCGTTTAGATGACACAAAACCCAAAATAATAAACCTATCTACATATACACTTACAAATGACGAAATCAACCTACTGAAATTGGGCCTAAAATTCTGTCCTGCTCCTAAAAGCAATATAGTAGACTTAAAAAAAGACATTAAGGAATTTGAACGCAAACTGAGACTAAGAGAAATATTTAACAATAGCGAAAGTAAAGTACAGATGAGTCACTAGTAAAAAAAACAAATCCAATTTATTCCCAAACAAAAAAAATAATACCAATGAGATAAATATATTTTTTTGAAAAAAGTCTGGAACCTTGACCTACAGGAAAATCCAAATCATTCGACAATCTCACATATATAGACAAAGACTAGCCTTAGAGAACATTCAAAAATAATAACATAATTATAAAAGAAGCAGATAAAGGCAGCTATAGTAATCATGGGACAGAACATACTATAAAACAAAAATTCTAGAAACACTAGAGGATAGGAACAGCTACAAAAGTAATTGACACTAACATAGACAAAAAACATTATAACAAAAATTACAAAACTCTGCACAACACATAATAAAATATTAACAAAAAAAGAGAAGGATTTCAATAAACTTTGTACCAAAAAACAAGTAATTTCTACGGACTACCTAAAGTTCATAAATCGAGTAAAAGCAGCTATACATACAAAAAATCTGAATACATTAGCATCCCAAACCCCAGTGACCTTACATTCAGACCCATAGTAGCAGGACCAGTCTGTCCCACTAGCAAACTCAGTAACCTAATAGACATAATATTGCAACCATATACTAAACAAATTAAAAGCCACATCAGAGACGATATCCATTTCCTTAGCTGCATACCACAAAAGGTAGGTCCGGGAACGCTTATGGCAACTTTTGACATCAGTAGCCTATACAGTAACATACCCCATGAACTAGGGAAAAAAAGATCTCATTCTGGATTGAAAAACATCCAGAAATACTACATCCGAGATTCACTAAAGAGTTCATTATCGATAGTATAGACCTAATTCTAAACAATAACACCTTTAAATTTGACAACAAAAACTATATCCAAACCCTAGGTACTGCGATGGGAACAAAAATGGCACCAACATATGCCACCCTAACATTAGCTTACCTAGAAGAAAACCTCTATGAAAAGATAGAACAAATATATGGGACAAATATAAAGACCCAATTCACTAAATCTTGAAAAGATATCTAGATGATTGCTTCATCTTTTGAAATCATCATGGGGTGATATTAACCAATTCCATACACTACTTCAAAACTTACACCCAAAAAATCAAATTCACGCAAGAATATAATTTTAACGAATTACCATTTTTAGATATACTCATTAGAAATAAAAACAACCACATAATCACAGATATCTACCACAAACCCACAGACACCCAACAATACGTTCATTTCAAGAGCCATCACCCAAAAAGCTGCCTAAAATCCATCCCCTATTCCCTAGCACGTAGAATTTGTACAATAGTGACTGATAAACATCTCCGAAAAATCCGCTTAGAAGAACTACATAAAACTCTCAAGAAACGAGGCTACCCCACAACACTAATAAACAAAGGTATTGAACTCACGAAAGAAATTCCTCTTGACCAACTTAGAAATAAAAAAAAAAACGTAACGTCGAACAAAACTCTAGCATATGTCTCAACGTACAACAAAAAACAACCCAGAAATATTCCCAGAAATCACAAAAAATCTAGATTTACTTAGCAAGAATAATAAACTGAATAATATACTAAAAACAACCAAAATAATTAAGAGCAAACGCCAATCTAGAAACCTAAAACATATATTAACCTCATCTAAATTTAGTCAACACAAAATACAGGAGTCACAAAATGCAACAAAAAAAAAGATGTGGAGTTTGTGACATCATTATAGAAGGAAACTCCTACACTTTTGAAAACCCAAAAAAAAATTCACAATAAACAAAAACTTAAACTGCAACTCCAAAAATGTAGTTTATGCACTTAAATGCACAAAATGTAAGAAGTCATATATAGGCATCAGCCAACAACTGAACAACAGTTGTGTACAAAAGCAATATAAAATTGACAGACAACAGAAAACTTTTTGTATCACAACACATTTTCAAATGTAACCAGGGTAAGTTTAATATCATGCCGATATATCAAACAGACAATTACTCGTATCTACAAATACAGGAAAAAAACTTTATAGACAAATTCAAACCCGAACTGAATAGATCGTAACCCCCCCCCCAAAAAAAAAACATGCACACAGGGTGACCAAATACAATGATCGCTCACATACATGGACGCACACTCATATATCTGGGAGACACGAGGAGAGATATATATATGTATGTATGTACATACATACATTTATGTATGTATATGCGGATGTTGACAACTTAAGAAGTACGTGTGTGTGTGTGTGTGTGTGTATGTATGTGTGTGTGTGTGTGTGTACTGGTTCCATGTAGCTTGGGAAATATGTGTGTATATGTGTGTGTGTACTGACTACTTGTGGTGGGATAGTGTGTATGTGCGTGTGTGTGTGTATGCGTATATAAGTACAAATAAGTTTACGAATTCCTCGTAGTAAGGAAATATACGCACGCATATATACACGCATGCTGACAGGAACACGCCAAAATAGAAACAGATCCAAGAGCACATAGAGGTCACTAAAACATTAAAAGATTAAATGCCGATAACTACTTTTGGGACAAACCTTAATTGTTTTATGACCCTTCACGCAGAACTCTTCATTGACAATTCTAGAAAGAAAATTCGGATTGCCAACACACAAAACAGAATGTCTCATATCGAGAATATTCCACATTGAACATGAAGAAAAATTAATTATTTTTAATAATATGTAAAAATCTCCACTTTCACCTGAAGACGGTTAAGAGACCAGACCAGAAACACGTGTCGTGAAATTATGTAAAACAAAGTATAATATTTTTTCAATAAATCCACATTACAACCAAAAACGTTTGCGGCACCCTCTTCTTTTTAATATACATACTTTTCTCTCGTTGGAACCACTACAACATATTTCCTTTATATATATATATATATATATATATATATATATATATATAGGGTGACCAAAAAAATGGGAATTTTTGAAGTGTGTATTGCCAGACATGAGCAAGTGGCAACACTGCAAGACAGTGACCTTGAGCAAGTAAACATTTCGCCATTTAGA